TTTTGTCATCCTTTCTTTGGCATGATCCCTGCATTCTTCCGATGTTATCAATCGGTACTTTGGCAGCATGGGCCTCAAACGGTTTCCTTTCTTGCTTTTTTTGTCCTGTCTAGCTCTGTTAGTCTCATTGTACTTTCAAAAATTCACTCATCCTTCCTCGGGGCTTTAACCAGCTAGCTTCCGCCCGTAGGCTCGCTGGCCTCCACAAAAGAGGGACTTTAATTTCTGAAAGACAGTGAGAGTAACAGTTTTATTATGCTATACACCAGAGTAACAACTCTGGCCACTCCTTACTCAAAGATAATCCCAGGGACAAGTTTTGGTGCCTTAGTTTCTCTGTGCTTCCTGCAGGGTACATGCCAACGATTGGTTCATACGTGTTTTTCTCATGTGTGTTTGATTAACCATGCGATGGTGATATATTGTGTTTGTTACTAACCGCTCCGATCAGGATCAAAGAGCACTTTTTGGTGCATTTAAATAAATAAATAAATAAATAAATTACTACGGTTAACTCGAAGATCAAGGCTGGCAAGGTTTTCTGTGAAAAAGGGACGCCCGAAGACTGTGTTTATTTTTACAGTGCTGCTAGTGTTATGGCTAATTCCAAATTGTTGTATAATTGTATTTGTAATAGGGTCGCGAAGGAGGTCCAGCTACCCGAGTTGAAGCCGCTGCCGATGAGGGCATCGGCAACAGAGGGGGGAAGCATGTGGAAGTCGGGGGTGCCTTCGAGCGCCCTTCCAAGCGCCGTGCGGGCTCGATGAACACGGCATTGCCGTGAGAGGTCCCGCCGGGAACGGAGTTGCGGGAGACGCAGTGGTGTGCTCAGACAGCGGATAGGACCCCTCCGCCGGAGAAATGGGGCAGGGTCGCGGCTTTTCCCCAGCGGTGGGTCTGCCACTCGTCCGCCGGAGCCCTCCCATTTCTGCTCCGGATACCTCCCATTTTCTGCTCCGGAGACCTCCCATTTTCTGCTCCGGATACCTCCCATTTTCTGCTCCGGATATCTCCCATTTTCTGCTCCGTAGCCCTCCCATTTCTGCTCCGGATACCTCCCATTTTCTGCTCCGAGACCTCCCATTTTCTGCTCCGGATATCTCCCATTTTCTGCTCCGGATACCTCCCTTCTGCTCCGGATATCTCCCATTTTCTGCTCCGGAGACCTCCCATTTTCTGCTCCGAGACCTCCCATTTTCTGCTCCGGATATCTCCCATTTTCTGCTCCGGATACCTCCCTTCTGCTCCGGATATCTCCCATTTTCTGCTCCGGAGACCTCCCATTTTCTGCTCCGGAGCCCTGCCATTATCTGCTCCGCAAGTCTGCCGCGGCATACTGTAATTAGCCCTAATTAAGCTCCAAACCCCAATTATAAACCCCAAATTAGCCGAATACGACCCCCCCCCCCCCCCGGGTAAGAGTTCAGCGCGACCCTCAACCCCGTTCTTTACCCCCTCCCTCTCACCCCTAGCGTTTGTGGATAGAAGATAGAAGAATGAAGAAACAAGACATTTATTTCAAATTAATTGCAAACAATCTCCTGCAAATTGCAAAACAAAACTTAGCAGCTACAAAACGGACAACAAAGCAGTAAAGCAGTAAAGCGATAAGATACGTCTGGTTCTCACCACGAGCATTTTCAAGACGGCAAGAAACCTCTGAAAATCGGATGAAGAGCAAAGAATACCAAACACATGAGCACACAAAAAATCCCCTACCGCTAAATATTGTGATAATGAGATGAGGGTACGAGTTGGCAAGGTTCTGACAAACAGCCTGCTGATCCATAGGGAAACAATGGCTGTGCGAATTTGTAACTACTGGCGATTTCAACTGCACAGCTGGAGAAGATGCCATGTTTCCTTCGGTAGACGCCTTTTAAAAAAGGAAGACTCACTTGTAAAGAAATTGTCTCTTGAGAATCTCAATCATATTAACTGCAGCATCTGTGACAACCGCTATATAAATTCGCACGGAAAATCTCGGCGAGAGAGAACACGACTGTATTATAGATCCCAACTGGTCATCGACTTGGAACAGTAGTCAAAACCAGGCGTAGAGGGATTGCGCAGCTGCTGTGACTGCACAAACTTCGCTAAAAATGTCTGGCTGAGGTTGTCCTTCAGAAAGGATGGAAATCAAGTGGTGCGCACTTGCATATGCTGAAACTGAGAATTCAAAAAAGTACTCAAAGTTGAAGTAGTTCAAAGTTCACTAATCATAATGAACCAATCACGATCAAAATTGGGATTTCTATGTTTTCGAGGTCCTCCATTTCATTAACAAAGTCTGTTTTGCGTAAAAGGCCAGGACACAATTACGAACAAACTTTAAACATCAGAATTTAGCGGTTTGAACTGGAGACGCCTGTTCTCAAACTTACATCAGTGGGATAAAACTAGAGACTTGCCTGTATTTGAACATGGTGCATGTACTCGATTACATGTTTTCCCTCTTCCGCGTTGCAAGGTCATGACCTCATAAAGGTTTTCTTCGAGCAGAATGCCGCAGGCACATTAAGGTTCTAACCTACATCTTGGCTACAAGCTATATACCTGTTGGCGCGACCTTGTCAGTCACATATCCATACATGATTAGTGATGTCGTATAAAATGTCTATGTGTACTGGCATGAACTCGTTATCTAACCATTCACTTTGAACATATTACTGAACTTGAACTTAGATTTTGAAAAGTTGTTTGAAAAAAGTGCTTTTTGTGCTTTGTTTTGCGAACAATCATAGCTATGCAGAAGAACAACCTCGAACACATAGAAATCCCAATTTTGATCGTGATTGGTTCATTACGATTACTGAACTTCAACTTTGAGTACTTTTTTGAATTCTCAGTTTCAGCATATGCAAGTGCGCACCACTTAATTTCCATCCTTTCTGAAGGACAACCTAGCGAGATATTTTTAGCGAAGTTTGTGCAGTCACAGCAGCTGCGCAATCCCTCTACGCCTGGTTTTGACTACTGTTCCAAGTCGATGACCAGTTGGGATCTATAATACAGTGAGAACACGAGCACGAGAGCTCGAAAGCATTTCGCAGCAACAGCACTTGGCTGACTGTAGCACTAAGACATTAACCAGTCTAGCAGGTGGCTCGATTGCGTGATATTCCGTACTACTTCAGATACTCTTGAATAAGACGATTCAGTTGCTGAGTAGACGTGTCATAGCTAAGGCCGCCTTTTGCTCCACGTATGAACCAACCTTAATGAAAAAGATTAAATAAATAGCGATGCATAGAACAGCAACATGAAAACATACATCATTTTCCATATTCTTTTTATCTGCTGCTATCGTTCTGCTGCACCAGCCGATGAATAGATAAAATAGGCTTTGCTTCTTTTCATCCGGAATGAGACTGCCACGATTTTCTGGACTAACATTATCAATGATCACAGCAATAAGTTTGGAATAGTGAAGCCGCATCATCGTCACCACTGCTATGTCACGACCCTGATATAATCTTGCTTGTTATCAAGGACTACATTTCAACGTGAAAACTGCATACCAGATCGCTTTCGAGGTTTTCTCTCATCGAGTCGATGAAATCAAGTATGAGTGGACGCAGACTGCCCAAACTATCTATCATTGCGGAATCCAATAATCCACGGAATACAGCCACCTGATAAGGTATCGATATTGAGGGGTACGAAAAAGTTTAGATATGCCTTCCAAATACCGCTAAATCCACTGCACCTAAAAAAGCAAGCTTTCTGACTGAAATGGGAAGAAAACTTCATTTAAACTTTACTCGATTTATATACTTTCGAAAATTGTTGTTGTTTCGCAAATCCAGAATTAATCACAAAAACTACTCCATCAGTAGTCAACGATGTCTCAGCAAGTCGAAAAGAGCCAAACACTGAAAGTGATTGAGTGCATCCGCACGAAAATTTGAAACAAACCTGAAAGCGAGGAACTTACAACAACATAAACGCCAACGCGACGAAGAGCAACGCGGAAAAGAAAAAAAACGGTAAGAAACGCGAAGAAACAACAAAATCGAAAAAAACGACTAAAATATGAAGAAAGAGGGTAAACAGAGGACTCATCACCGTGGAGTTAGACGTTTGCTTGCTACGCGCCAAATCGATACGCAGCCTGCTCCGGAGCCCTCCCATTTCTGCTCCGGGGCCCTCCCATTTCTGCTCCAGATACCTCCCATTTTCTGCTCCGGATACCTCCCATTTTCTGCTCCGGAGACCTCCCATTTGTGCTTCGGACCCCTCCCATTTTCTGCGGCGCGGCTTTTCCAAATCTGGCGGACTCGCGCCGGGCAAATTTCTCCGGCGCGCGCCGGAGAAATGGCGTACCTTTGCAGCAGGGCCGGAGAAGCGTCCCATTTGCCTGCCAGTGATGTCACCGCGACGGACCGCCCATTTGCCCCGCTCTCATTGGTCAACTGGGTCCGGCGCGACTCTGGCAGATTCGGACTGTCCGGCGGAGGGGTCCGGTCGATTGTCTGAGGTGTGTGTTGAAACTCACTCACTTCGTGTCTCAGCCAGTCGACACCCCGCGTGTTTCGTTTCTCTGCCTCTTTTTTGAGTATCTCCTGATCCCGATCCTCACTTGTTTTTTTGTTGTGCTTTCGCGTTCTATTGGTGTCTTTTTTCCTCTGTCACCTTATTTGTCGTGCTGTCTGGCAATAAACGTGGGCTGGAGCTGTGTTTTTGTTCTCTGAGCCGAAACATGACCTCGAAATCTCGTGTTTTTGGTACCGGATAGATTACATAGTAACAGTTTAATTGCTGGGCTGCTTTGAAATCTGTGGAAAAGTCTTTGACATCATATTTCTGCTCAGTTGTCAGCGACTGCATATGAGAACAAGCTTGAGAAGGAAAAACCAAAAATTGAAATTATGTGATGAATGGTGCAGGCTCTGCTTATAGAGCTACCTATCTTAGATTGAATATTTGAAGTGAATCAATGGTTTTGCACTCATTTCGGAAGCATATGACCTCTGGCTAATTGCTAATGCTGGTTTCAGCGCAATGCGACATCTTCCGGATCAAATAGAATGGCTTCGAACGCTCGTTTCTTTTCTGAACATGGTCTCGCGTTACTCCCAGATGAAAGAAACTGTAAGCTCTATAACTTTGGTTTTTACTCGAGGTCCATTATTTTTGCAAACACAACAAGTTGGGGACGAGTGGTGCAGTAAGTATGAGGTACCAGATACCGATCCCGTCCTGAGCCATGTCAAACCCTCTACCCTCCTCAGAAGAAAAACTGGTACCAAAACGATCTGAGAGATTAAATTTTGGTAATCGTTTACCTCGCCAAATCACTGTAAAGGCTTGCACGTATTCAATTGCTCTTCGACTACGAAGCTGCGTTTGGGGGCATGACCTTAGAGCAGCGCGGCGCAGGATTTGCGGAGGGGGGGGGGCAAAAACTTTTCCCGACTGAAGCTGCGTGCGTGATTAAAACCATGCATCTCAAAAAAATTTTTGGGATGCTTTTCAGACACTTTGTGGTCTTGTGGCGCAGCTACGTCCCCGAAAAAACTTTTTGATGCTAATTCAAATTTTTGAATAATCAAAAGGTCATTTTACTTATCTATAAAGCTGAATGTCTGTTTGTGTGTTCGTGTGTGTCTCTACGTATGTTCCGAACACGAAACTCTATTTCTGAACCGATCCAAACAAAATTTGGCACACATACACTTTGGGGCGGGGCGGGTGTCGTAGGCTACTTTTCGTTGTCGATCGATATCAAATTTTATCGATTTTATCGATTTTTTGCAGTTTGAGCTACAGGGCTGGGAGTTGGCACAGGGGGGTAAGTGGCATGCTGATTTCGAAAACAACACAGGGAACGGGAAATGTAGAAGTGGGCACAGGGAAAGGCTGTACAGGGATAGGGATGGGAACTTTATTACAGTGTTTTGACAGGGCCGAGCAGAGCCGAGTAAGCAAGCTAGTTCACAAGTATAAACAAGTTACTTGCATATCTTTATAACGCATTAAGAAAAATTTTGCGACCCATTCTCGTGGAAAAGCGGGGGGGCCTCCCACTCGGTCCGCCTTTGCCTTAGAAGGGGGTATTAAAAATGACAAATCCTTTATTTATCTTTTTATACTTAAGTTTTACAAGCCTTTCTCATAATTCAACGTTTAGTATCATCTTACCTTGGACATCGCCTTCGTGAAAATATAAATAACTACAGAAATGAAATTTCGCGGTTCAAGGGAAATGGGCAATTCAAGGTATGTGATCGAACACCATTTTAGAACAAAACATTTTGGATCTGTAATCCCACAGTTCGATCGACTTGCACTATCTGCACTCTTCGATAGAAACAGCTCTTTGTGGTCATGTGCATTCGATGTTCTCTTAGCGTGCACGGTATCGTTTCTAGCTGGTCTGGTTTCAACTGCAGGCATCTACTCAGATATATGGCTGTTCCTGCTGGCTTTCACTGTTGCTGGTGCTCATGTGAGCATGCAGTTTCATTTTTTCCTTTGCTTCGTTTCTAAGTGTTGGTCCGCTTTTCAAACTTTGAAGCGAGTTTTTTGTTGAGAAGTTTAATACAGTTTTCGATTCTCAAAAGCGTCCAACCCGATGCATCATCGCCCATGCATGGCTTCAACTGGATCGCTGCCTATAGCCGTCCCTTATATTTTTGTTTACTGGCAGGCACAGTTTTAGTGCTGCATTATTTTTGTGGTGGTTCCAGTACGGACGAATTAGCTCGCTGGAATGCTTCTAGGTTGTTGTATTTAGAAGAAGATACCTAAACGACTGTATTTACACTATTTAAGGCTGTGCTCAACTTCTGGAAAAATGTCTGTCTTGACAGTTCATGGTCTTTTTGCTACACTTTTGGTTTTGCTACCGGTTGCACATGCAATGGGGTGGCTTCCGCAGGTAGTTGATAGTGATGCAGCAATTCAGAATTTCTCGAAAAAAAAACCATTCTTGAGCAGCGTTTTCATGTCACTTTTTGTCACGATGAATAGCGAAGTCATTAATTTTGTATCTCAAAATTCTGAAAGCAAATAAGGATTTTATTCCTTGCCTTTTTTCCCAGTATTCAATATGATTTTCTGCAGGCGAACACTCTCGTGCATCATGTGTTAGAACAATTTGAGATGCACGTGTTTGGTGGAACGGCTTCTCTCGGTGTATTAAGTGCTCTTCTACAGGTTTTGAAAAGCATAATTGCTTGGGCAATCTTGGGGGGATTGTGAGTCGCACTTGTTTTACGTTCCTGTAACAACACTACATGTAGATATTTTATAGCCAATTTTTAGATGCCATTTGGCTTATTCTACCAATCCCGATGATACACAAACACCAGCATTTTCTGCTTTTCTCTCTGCGGCTGTCGCAATTTCATATTTACTGAGCAGGTAAATGTATCCTCATTCATCAGTAGTATAATAGTTTTTGAAACGAGTGGGGTAGTGGTCTAAGGCGCCGCTATGACCAGATCGAAACCAAGTTCGATTTCGCCCCTGGCCAACTAAGCCCTCTACCCGGGGCCGGTAAATTGGTACCAAAGTAATCTGGGAGGATGCACCGACTTGATAGTCGGCCGACTTCCGCAAGTTACTGTAAGAGGCTCGCACGCATACATTCGCCTCTTCGACTGTGAAGTAGTGTGCGTTCGGTACATGCCCGCAAAGGGTACTGAAGACGCCAAATCCTTTATCTTTCACAATAATCTTCACTGCAGAATTTCATCTAACCTCCGATTATCTATCATATTGCTCCGAGCCACATGCCCTTCCATGAAACGACGTAATAATTCTGAAAGCACCAGTCGTCTCTGTTGCGCCTCCTCGAAAGAACAGGATGAAGGTGAGAGAAGTGAAACGAGAGCAACTGCTTCTACTGGTACGATGCAAATGAAATTTGCAGATGAACTGGATTCGCTGGATCCACTACCCGGACCTCTCAAGAATGCTATACTTTTGCAGGCAAAGCATGACCTGCTGTTTTCTGTCCTGCTGTTTTTACTCACCTTTGGTCTGCATTCCACCTCGTTGTTTTCATCTGCACGGCCTTATTTCACGGTGAGTTTCTGGATTACAATGTCCATTTGAAAGCTGAGAGTATAGCGAACGTCAAAATACTAACAGTAGGAGCAGTAGCAAGATTACTTATATATAGGTTGTAGGCGTTCTGCTGCGAAGAATTCACGACTGAAAGAGTACGCAAAAAAAGAGTGCACTAGAGACGAGGAATTGCCCGCTTCCGCAGTCCTGCCCCGCTCAAATTCTGCATTCCTTTGAGCAGTATGTGGTATAGCCCGCCCGATACAACGGTCTATGCCACATACGTAAAAGAATGCAGATAATTCGCATATGCCGCAACATTTCGCGTCAGTCGCGTTCATGCTACTGGACATCCGCGATAGGGGCGCTAATTTTGCGATTTGAACAAATGCTGCGATAATTTTGGTGCAGCTGTAGTTTCCGTCAGAACAGATGGATTTTGTATTCAAATTAAGCTAAAGGAAGCCTATAGTCGATTCATCGGGCGTGTCTGCAGTTACGGTCGAAGGACGATTTGGTCTACAGCTACATTTATTAATGCGATAGCGTATCGGTATGCTACATACACTAAACCGATATGTAGCAAGCAGCAAAGGTCCAAGAAGTTTTCTCGGTGTGGCCATGCCTCCGAAAAAATTTTGGGATGCAAAATTTTTAAAGAGCTTGTACGCCTTTAATTTTTGTTTCGAAGCTTCACCTTTTTCAAAAATCATTCTATTTATTTTCAAGTAAGTACAAGTTACGTGCATAATATTACCCGTGGTTCACGTAGCACTCTTCAAGTCTCTACGCTTCCGCTCAACCCGCTGTTAGTGGTAAGTTCGAAGATGACAGTTCTAAACACTGGCCGTTCGCTGTGGGCAAGTTATACGATTATCTGGGGCACAAATTTGAAGCCCTATGCTGTGCGAGATCAGCTAGAGCTTCAAAGTGACGGCTCTGTAATTTTTTGTGACCACGGAAGACATCTGCACGCAAACGATGCATCACACCATACTCTCTGCTTGTGCTCACGAGCATGGTATCCAGCGCGTACTGCTGTAAGTTCCAATCCACTTTAGGCGCAGATTGGATTAGCGGACTTCCACTTCGCAACGGTTCGCGCCGTCTCGCAGCTACAGTATATCGTATTGTCTACAAGAGCCCATATCAGCGTCACCTCAATCTCCTCAATCTTTATTTGGCAAAATCCACCGCTGCTGAAGTTGGGGTTACGAGATACATGTAGAACGATAATCGCCTAATACCAAAGCGACTCGATAATACTAGATGCCACGCGGGCTAATTCGTGTCGATGCGTACTTCAATTCAGATTTGGGTAATTAAACCATTTACTTTTAAAACAACAAAATAACCGCAATAAAAATATCATACAATATGTAATGAGAAACTACATAACAAGTGAGTGTTATTGCAAAAGCAATATTTGTCTTTTTGGCTACTAGTACGATTAGAAAATACATGAAAAGGCTCAACACAATACCAGGGTAACTACTGTTCGTATATGACTCAGCGAGATAAAATGATAAATAAACGAGAATAAAGTCACCGGCACTTAGGCGGCCAAGCGACCATCTAATTCTCGACTCGCCATTTAGATCCTCCTCTGAACGCAATTTAAAACCATCTGGCGCAGCTGGTCTGAATCACTTGCTCGCACAGTGGTTTGTGCTAAAACAAGTTTGCAAGGAGAGGAATACTATAACAGGCGGACCGTAGCATAATCGCTTGTTTTCCTTGTCGTTGGCGACAGCTGTAAACTCGCGAAGCCTCCAGCAGAGCGGACGTGCTGCTCCACATGAAATGCTTCGCCTACTCCGGAGTGAAACATACTGTAGCTATGTGCAGTGCTAATCTCCACTCTTTCTAGAGTTTTTCTGCTTTTCTGCATGATCCAGGTCAAAATCCCTTTCCATCTCATAAGATTTTCTAGTTGACGCGGTGTTTGAATAAACCCTTAGCAAATCTCGCCAGTCCGATTAGAGTCCGTTTACGCTGAGAACACTGCAAATCGTCCTTTGCTGGACCATTCGCCGGTTTCCCTCTTTCCTGTTTCAACTGTTTTCCAAACTACGACCTCTTCTCAAGTCCGTCTGACCTGCGACGAAGAGGGGTAGACGAGCACAACTGGTCCGGAATTCGGTCAAAAAGAAGGCTTTATGAGTTCGTTCGAACTTGATTTGGCTATTATCCACAAAAATCTAGTCTCTTAAAGGCAGTGTCCGGGCAAAAAGTCGATTCTGAGATTTTGTGCTTACCCGGTCCTATTCACTATGCTGAATCCGAAAATCCACATTAGAAAGCGCGAAAACGGCGAAAAAGAACTCTAACGCAGGAGGGAAATCAGAAGTGGGCGGGGTCTTTCCCACTGCGGATTCACGCTTCAAGCTCCCGGAGCGATCTTGTCGGTCCCGATTTCAAGTCATGCATTTGCACCTGGCCTGTGGAGATCTCAGGGCGCTAGCGGAATTGAGAAAGTCGCTTCAGATGCCGGGACCGCGAAATTCACAGTGGGGGAGACTCCGCCCACTTCTGACTTCCCTCCTGCGTTAGAGCCCTTTTTCGCCGTTTCCGCGCATTCCAATGTGGATTTTCGAAGTCAGCATGGCGAATAGGGCCGGGTAAGCACAAATTCTCAAAATCGACTTTTTGCCCGGACACTGCCTTTAAACTGGTGAGACTTCTTCGAGATTAGATGGGAAATGCATATCTTTAGATGATCAGTCTCAAGAGCTTATTGTTGAAAACGATTAAGTCATGAATTAAGTGAGTGTGGGAATTGTACCAATCTACTAACGTATCGCAACAATATCGATAAATTTTACAAATATCCCAATCTAGGTTGTTATTGTTTCGCTATGTATAGCTTTTGGCATCATCAACCACTATATATACGGACAGCTAAGGACTCACACGCCTTTGAAAATGGTTAGTGACTTCTATATCATAGATAAAATATAAAAAACGTCAGTGCGTTTCTGATCACCTCGCAAAAGCAACATGTTGCATTTCTCAATCAGTTTTAAATCTGTTGTTACCTCCGCTACTCGTGTGAGAAAGAGAGCGCAAAGTTTTTCTGGCGTAGTTACATCAACTCAGGACATACGCACAGATGTATGCAAATACGGAAAGTGGTAACAACAAGGTAAACAAAAGCAGCTTTGAAGCGCTTATGCTTGCCACAAGCTATTTATATGATTGGCAGCGGTGGTGGCTGAATGCGTGAGCCATGTAACACCCTCTTAGAAAGGGTCCTGCATAAGTGTGGCAAATGGACACCAGTAACGATTTTGCTGTTGCCACTTATAAATTTTACAGTTGCACCTCGTACCAACTGCACAGATCGTTCAGTTGGAGCGCGCTATCCTCTTCATGGGTCTGCAATTCTATCGTTGCTCAAATGGTTGCGAAAGAGAAAAAGAAGTTCTGAAATTGAATTCATTTCGTAATAAACAATAAGTGAACAGACGTATTCAAGACCCTGAGGTGGCCCTTGATGGAAGGGTTGAGTTGGCACTTATCTTCAATCACGCGTACACACGTAAAATTTGTGCCAAATCTGGGGCTGCGTATCAGTTGTCAGATTGTGCGCTTGCTTGGGATCAGGTGTGAGAGCTGACGCACACCACGCTCTGTTCACTTTATTCTTTTTGTACTACGCCCCTGTTCATGCTAGTTCCTTTCCATTTTTCTTGTAGCATTTAAGATTTCCCATTTAATCTTTTCTATCAATTTCAAATAATCTAGTCAAAAATTCCGGACGGTAAACTACCATTCTGTAACTTGACAGTTCAGAACGAAAAAAGAGAGAAACAATTGCAGAGACCGGAGAGGTTCTGTAGCCAAAAGCGTTGTTGCCTCGAGGGGAGCAAGAGTGATCAAATTTGCCGGCTAAACAAGCGACTAAACAGTGCAACTATCTCGATTTATCTACGAGACATTTAGAAGAACCCCGAGTGCTAATACCGCGCTGCAATTTGCAAGACATCCAGTGACGAGTGACAGCAGTGGGAAACGTTGCAGAGCCTGAAGTCACCTTTCCATCCATGCCCGACATCAACTCTCCTCACTCAAAGACTAAAATCTTTTAAAGAGATTTTGGATTGGTCTTAAAAGAATGGAATTTGTCACCGAGATTATAAAAAATGTTCAGAAAAAATATAAGGGTGTTACAAAGGGAATATGAGACTCAAGCCTCTAGAGGCGCCACGCTTTACAAGTTGAGACTTAGTTATCTCATTCTAGATTTTTTTATTGATTGTCCACTGAAATGAGAGGAGAGGAAGTTCGAACTTTTTCCTCATAAGGATTTATTTGAAGCATAGAAGAAATCGTTGTAAAGTGCGTTATTAATTGTTCATTGCTCTTCACAGCTTGGTGAAGACCAATGAACAATTAACCACGCAGCAGATGTGTGCTGCTACTCGACCTGGTGCTGAGATCATGAGTGTGATACGTCGCTAGAAGGTGTTTCCGCAACAGATGTTCTCAACGCTGGCAAGCATACGATCGAAAGATTGTGTGCCTCCTGAAAATCGTTGCAGAAAAGACATTGTTCATTTCTTAGTAGTGCGAATTTTCACCCCAGACAGTCGAGGGGATACCTCCGGCATGCATATGGCGCGAATCTGCCACTTCGCGCTCCGGAGCCCTGCCATCTTACGCATTTTTGTGCTCCGGGGTTCTCCCAAAAGTGGCGCACCTCCGGTGCAGAGATTTGCGCGTCGCGGAGTGGGGTCCCATTCATTCACCGTGACGTCATGGTGACGTCACAAACAGGACGAATGGGGCCCCTCTCCGCGACGCGCAAATCTCTGTTCCGGAGGTGCGCCACTTTTTAGAGAGCCCCGGAGCACAAAAATGCGTGAAATGGCAGGGCTCCGGAACGCGAAGTGGCAATCCTCCGCCGGGGAAAGCCCGCGACCCTGCCACTTCTGCTTCGGAGGTATCCCATCGACTGTCTAAGACAAAAAGGCTCGTCACAATTATAAACCTGACTGGGGGTGCTTGATTGATGAATAGTGCTTATTAACAAGTGCAGTCGATTCGTTGACCGCACGGACTGGACATCACTGCGGAGCACGCGTCGCAAGGAAAAGTTTGCCCCAGTAGTACAAACTCGCCCTAGTAAAAGTCGTGCCCTTGCAATATTTCAGCCGCGCCGCGCGTGGTCCGCAGTGCTGGAGCAGTCAGTGCGGTCAACGAATCGATGATATATTGATTGGATCGTTGTTTATTGCTCTGGGCACTCGTTTGCCAGGAGCCCCTGCTTTGCATGAATCTTTTACCAAAACACAAAAGAAACATGAATATCTGAGGCTTACATCTTCACGCTTCGCCGCAGACTATATACGGATTCAGCAGTAGGTGATGACTTCACGTACTGCTGAATCCGTATATAGTCTGCTCCAATCGGGATTAGGCCGAACCGTCGGCGTAGGTTTGCGCGCTCGCAGCGCTATTCGCGTCTGCGCTGCATATGCGCGCTGTCGGAGAGAACAGAAGGGAGAGAGCAGAGAAAGACGCGGGAGTGAACGCAAAACTCTAGCGACGCGGACTCCCGCCATACTAGTTTTGGCCTGATTGGGATTGGGGCAGACTGTATGCTGGATCCGCCGACAAATCATAAGCCAACATACTACAGTAAATTTCGACCCGCTTTAGGCGGAAATTGGACTGGCGGGAGTCCGCCTCGCAACAGCTCGCGCCGTTTCGCAGCTACAGTATATCCTATCGTGCTGAGAACCCATGTCTGCGTCTCTTCAATCTCCTTAGTCTTTGCTCGGCAAAATGCGCTGCTATGCGCTCGCGAAGCCTCCAGCGATGCGCATGCGCTGCTCCACGTAGGATGTCTCGCCTAATCCGAGATGAAATCGACTGTATATAATGCTTGTGAAGTTTTGAGAAAGAAATGAACGCTACGACCACCAAGTTCGAAGAACGTGCATTTATTTACGATACCACTGGGCTCCCCTCCATCTCAACTACCAGCTTGACATTTGTCAGACGCTGCTCTCAGAATACCTAGTATGCAAGGATTAATTGACTTCAAAAATCAGAGAAAAAAGAAGAATGCAACAGAAAATGCTAAGCTAGTGGGTTGTCGACCTCCATTGGCGCTGAACATGGTTTTTTTCTTAGATTGCGAAACCTATCCTCCGCTCCAAACAATACACAAAGTATGAAAGTTCCGATGAAGCCGAAGTTACGAATTTCGAAATAGTTCACGTGTGGATGCTTGCGCTTGAAAGGAATGTGGTGAGTATATATTGTAAGAGCAACAAATGGCAAAAACATTTTTATAATTACATTCTTCTACCTAGCTTTATCCCCTAATGACCATGGCAATGCTCACAGAGAGTGGATGGCATTTACCTTGGGCGAGTATTGTAGCACCACTTATTGGGCTTCGTCTCTTGCGTGGGGGTTTTTCTCATCCTCAGCTTCTCTATGCCCCGTTGGCTGTCGCATTTACGCTGGCTCGTTTTGACTGGAGAGAAGGTCTACCATTTGGCCTTTATGATAAGGTTTGCGTCAGCAAGCTCAGCATCCTTTAAACTAGTTTTCTTCAGATACCATCTGCTGCAGCATTTCCGCTTGCACTTTATGTGTGTGTTATACTGTATCCGAAATGTATGGAGCTCTATTTGAAGCTGCGTTTTATCATGGTATATGCCGCACCATGGCAATACAAACGCGCAAATCGTGTATTCCCGTTTCTCACTGCGGTAGGCATAGCTAAATATCAATTGCCGCGAAGTCAGCGCAGAAATAGTAAATCATTATAAGATAAATGAGATTTGTTCTGTACATCGCTTTCAAAAGTTTTGGTGTCGAGCATATCGAAACAGCTTCAAGCTCAGTTGCGGCAGCTAAAGCTTTTTCAGCCACTCGGATTACCTCATTCTGCTCTTCTCTGCGCGGAGATGGTTGTTTCGAGTATTTTAAGTGCACCGTTGATCCCGTTTCTAGGTAAGATTCTAACATCATATGAAGCCGTAAAAAAGTAATCAGCACGACAGACCAGGAGCAAAGCGCGGCAAACGAACTTGTGTTTTAGCCTCTCAGACATTCGCCGTTGTCACCCGCAGGTGGACCGCCCACAAAATGGCTGATCGCACCAAAACCCGGTGCACCGTCGGGAGACATGAATTAGTTTTGACCGGATTTTACTGCGATTTTGCCCCAATGCACGCCGCATGCGTGTATGATAGTGATGTTGCGAAATAGTCGTCTTCTCTTGGTGATTGCTTTTTGTTGATTGGTGCCTTTTTCTTCAATGTTTTTGCTTTCATTCTTTCTTATACATCGCTTATAATCGCTCCTTGGGATCATTTGTGTTCTTTCATAACATAAACTTGTCATTATACCAGACCTACTCTATCTTAATCATACTTAATGGTGCCTTTTGATTCAATTTCGCTTATTATTTTTCCTAATTTTACCAGCACATCAATAAAAGTGAGGTCACCGTTTCCGTAGGACATCGATTTGATGGTTTGTCAGTTCAGATGAGATCGCGCGTCCAAAATGGCAACTTCACTTGCAATCTCTGCGCTGGTGTTGTAGATCGAAGGTAAGCATTTTCACCCCAATTCAGTAGGTTACTTCAGGACTCCTTCTAACTCAGCAAATTTGCGGAGTGCAATTTTGTGAGCTTAGACTCAAATTGTTAACCACAAGCCTGATTTGACTAAGTTTCAAGCCAACTACAAGCTTAAACAAACTTGAAATATTGTAATCTTGTGTCGGGTTCAACAAACCGTTGAGACGTCGCTAGCTAGCTAAAATCTGTCAAGACATGTAACTTATACTATCCATTACTTATTGTGGTTAGCTTCAAGCTGACACGTGCAGCACAAAAATTTGCGAAAACGTCATTTTACGAGAAAATCCTTATGACACAATACTTTTCCAGCAAAAAAAAACAGTTCAGCGCCCGAAGTATTGTCATAGTTCGAAAAATGTGTTTTTATAAGAAAATTTCTCCTGCAGAATGGGCTTTTCCATAGCTTGTTTTCGCAGTTTCACAGAAGTAAGACCGGCTGCAGCCGTATATGGACTGCTGCTGTGTAAAAAAATTTACTCAAATTTATTTTCATGCAGGAAACAAAGAGCTAAATCTGGGTGTAAAATGCACGTTTGGTATCCGTACCCCATCAGATCTTTGAATTCCCGTCTGCAAAGCCATAGCTAGTCAAATGACTAGCTATGGCTCTAGCTTCCAGCCTTGATAAGAGAATTTATTCTCTTCAGAGAAATTTCCACAATGCATGCAATGGTTTTTTGCGGACTTTCGTCCACGGCTCTCGTTGGGTCACTTTTTGGCAAGTCTATGGTCCGTATTTGAAAGAAGGGTCTTTTTTCTCGCAGATAGACCAGAAAGAGAATTCGTGGGATCAAGAATGGGCGAGTTAGAAGGCGAAATCTTGCTTGTTCAAATATGGCTCACATGAAGTTTGATGGGCTGCCAAAAATCCATTCTTTGCTCTATTTTATACATGTTTCGATGGTAGTCGTCTTCTCCACATTCTTTTGTTCCATTGTGGTCCTTTCTGACTTCGTTCCTTACATAAAAGTGATCTAGCTCAAATTTTAATTAACCAGCCGCTGTAACCCGAAAACCCGCAATTTTTCGAAATTAACGAGTATCAGAAGCTGTTTGAATTTTGGCATGATGAGGCAACAATCCACACCGAAAAAAAGAAATCGCAGTTGTCAAAACCCATCTTTCAAACACGGAAAAATGATATTCAGCTTTCTAACTCGCTCAATCATAGTCCCACAATTGCTCTTGTCTGTATAACCGAAAAAAGAAAGTCTGCTTTCCAAAACCCAGCCCGATTGAGGTTTTTGAATATGAAATGAATTAACGAAAGGCATCGTATTTTTAGGAGCTGAATTTGACTGAAATCTTAAAACGGAAGAGATCGGCTTGCGCACATAAACATGATCATTTTCTGCATTTTCATCATGTGCTTTTCTTAGGCACTATTTCGTCAATGCAAGGAATCACTGCTAAACGAATTCTTGCCTTACACATAATTTTTTGACTTGTGAACCGGCAGAGGAACTCAAAAGTATGCATGTAGGCAAACTAGCAAAAAAGAAAAAAAATGACCATTCAAGGATCTCCCGGAAAGCACTGTGGATTTCCTAATAAGTAGGTTGTTCCGTCATTTTGTACATCAATTCGAATAAGTTACTCAGGGTTTGTATTGGACGCTTTTGGCCTACCGGAAAAAGAACTACAATTTGCACAAGAATGCGACAAAGGCGTCAAAGGTAAAACTTTCGTCTCAAAAAGTTTACGCATCTGATACTGATGTTTTTTAGAAGAACCGGCCCAGGACATCTAACGTGAGCACTGACTTGAACATCATCGAAAAAACGGACGCCGACATTGCAGTAACCGATGCGAACGACACACATTAGTCCAATTCCAGTTGTTTTTTGTCAAGTGTTCTCTCGATGTAGTTTATTTGATTTTGCGCTGATGTAGATTTTTCTGTACCATGAAGTTTTTAATAAATACTATGGCTTGATTTGTTAGGGACAGTGAAAGATGACAGCGCGGTAGACGTGAAGCACACCAGTATAGAGTATGTACTCTATACTTGTGTGTTCCACTATATACTTGATATTAATATATCATAACTTATAATAACGGGCTAAGGTTGTTTACGTTTTTTTGTGTGTGTGTGTGCGTGTGTCTGTCTGTCCGTTACGAAATTCGTAGAGCATGTTCCAGCCAACGTTCTAAGCCCAAATTTTGCATAGCGCACGCTACCTGCGTGAAAGCCCACTATGCAAAAACATGAGCGGATCCGTTGAGTGGGTCCGTTGAAAATTGCGCCTCAAACCACTTGGCTTCTGACCAGCAAAATTGGGCCGGTATCAACATTTTTTGCGAAGTCATGGTTACGCTTGACAAGCTAATGTGCAAGCCATGGACGTTAACCCAAAAAGTTGGATTAAAGTTGATTAGTTTACGAAAATGGCGCCAAAAAGAATAAGTTGCATAAATGTTCAATTTGCCAAGATTTTACCTGATCGTTTGAGAAGATTTTTGCACAAGGGTGTAGTCCACGGTGATTATTGTCGTTATGGCGAATATCAAGCCATGAAAAGTCCACAAACCTATTCAAATTTGCGTTTGTTCTTCTCGGAAAAGTTTCATCCACGCGAAAATACCGATCTCACACAAAAAAGCTCTGGGAATGAGTATTTGTTTACAAATCATTCGTGATAGCCTGCATGGCTCGGTGAGTTTCAATGTCATTATCATGCGGGAATGAGTTAGGCATACAGAAAGTAGGGCCAGTGCGAACCTCTGCGAAGCAGAGGTGACGCACTGGTATATATATATATACCACTATATATGTACCCAGCAGGGTGAACCGCTGCTTTAAGGATCGGGGCATTATGGTGTCTCCCGCAGGTCACTCTAATAATGACCGGAGAATGCCCTGTCGGGGCATTATGGTGTCTCCCGCAGGTCACCCCGCTGCAAACACAGGTGACCTGATTTTGCCCCGACACCGATTTCGTGTGACGCGCCGTTGGTCAATGAGATCACACCATTTTAACCTGCGGGTGACAACCGCGAATGTCTGAGCTTACTTAACTTTTGGAAGAGGTAAGCCCCAGATTTAGCGTGCAAAAGAATCTGAATTTCCTCAATATGAAGAAGGGGCACGTTGTTGAAAGGCAGGAGAAAATGTTTTAAACTTGAAGGCAGCGTCCGGCAAGGTAAAATACATACAAGATAACATGGAGTGCAGTAACAGCTATTTCGATAAAGCTTTTGCCTAAGCGACATCAAGTCAGTTCTCTTTTGAAACGAGGATCACTTAAAAATACGTCTGGACCCCCCTTGGAGAGGCGCGTCGTCAAACTGCAAAGCCAAGGTGCGTATATCGCACACAGTCAAGACATAGGCTCCCACAACAACTTTTCATCTTGGCTTTGGCGGCATATTTCCAAAAAGGCAAACTAAGGGTACCTTCTTCAACAGTCCTGTTTGACTTTCTTCAAGCGCACTTTTGGAATAGCGGGAGGGATAATTGCAAGCAAAAAATCTCTAGTCGACAATTTGCTCCGACCCTGCAATGACAACCGATCTCGCCTATAACACATTTGCTACTAGGAGCACTATCCTTTTGTCGCAAGAGACATCCACACTGCACCACTGCTCTGCAATTGTTATAATTTGCCTAGCAGTTTTAACTGGACACTAACAATGCGTTATTCCAAAGATATGCACATAGGCTTGCTAGTTTCATCTTCGGTTTAGACAAGACTTCCAGTGAATTACATAGAAACGTTCAAACTCAACTAATGCACCATGTGCAGCGCAGATTAGAACATTTGAGGTTCATCTCTCTTCATCGCATCATACGCTCGTCCAGTGAAGTTCTGGGAACGAGGTTACAATACAAGGCACAACGATGCATCAAACACTACAATGGGTAAGCCAATTTCAAATTACAGAATAATGATATTGGGGAAGCTTAGCATGGCAAGTCGATCGTGAAGTGCAGGACGACAGCAATCTGAATGCGGTATTTTATGAGCATTTGACCAGGTATAATTTCTTGACGTTTTCTAACAGGGGGAGGGGGCAAAGTCCAGGTAGCTGATAGCTGATGCATATCATTACGAAGAACATGAAGCGCTGATTTTAAATCTGCCGTCCACATTTGCAGAACGCTACTGGGAAGGGAGTTATAGAGTTTTATCTACGAAGATTTTACAAGACCGAGACTAGCCAAGTTGAATATTGACATTTTCACAAACACAAACCCACTTGTATGACATTATCCATGTTTGATGTGATGCTGACACTTTTTGGAGGTCATCTCATCGCGCAAAAGCAACTCCGTTAACACGTTTCGCACCGCGAAATCGCGCGCGACGAAAAAGAGTGTACTTTCAGCCGTTGCCTACAAAGGGACCTTATTTCGCAGCCTGTGGGCCACATTTGTAATCAGCATGTTAGATAAGCTCCATATCCAAAGTTCTGAGTAAATTCGAAGTGTTTGAATTTTGTCGCTTGAGAGAGTCTTTTGTGCTTTCTTGAAAGATAGGAACAAGAACTCAGATTCTAATAGTATTCAAAGGTATCTATGTTGTACACGGCACACATCAGTATTGAAACTACGGGCTTTCTCTTTGGTATCGAAGCAAAGGAAAGTTGCGACGTCGCACGCGTCGTTCGCGTCGCCGCACTTCGTTGCAATTGTTGTTCGATTTGTGCTCATATCTCCTAAACAAATATCGGAGGCACAACTCTACAGAGTTATTTGAAAAGTAGGAGGTTAGACCTTTAACTTAACAACTTTAGACTAAAAGGAACTTCCTGCAAACGCCAGAAAAATCCCTCAAAGCAGCGTGCTGCACCATGTGCAGCACCGGTCCGAAACGTGTTAACTGTAGTCACTTGAAATCATGCAAATGTTGGAAGTAAATGCCCATAACTTCCTTCCCAAAAGCGTTCTACAATCACGAAAGGCAGATTTGAAACCAACTCTTAAAGCTTTTGTAATCATATGCATCCTGTGGTAATCGGCCACTTCGACTTGACGATTTTCCCCTTTAAAACAAGCATGGTTTTGCAGGAGTCTGCAGAAGAGTTTGGCTGGTGATTTGCAAATGGGTAGGTGGGCAACGAGTGTCCAGCCGGGTGACTATTTCATACTCACATGGTGAATTTTCTCCTCAGGACTGTTTTTTGTCAAAAATACCACGAACGTTTTAGCTTTAATCTGAATTGCCTGGTGCACATAATCGAAGTGGGAAATGGATTCATCACTTTTCAGCTTAGAGGGCTTGAATTTCGTGGTACCTTCTGCCATCAACGTGAGGTAATCACTTCCAGTACTTCGATTTTGAATGGAAGTCAAACACCAACTTTACAGCTGTTCAGACTTGTGGCAGTAATGCTTGTTTGCAACTTGTAAGAAAATGCGAAATTAATTAACAACATTTTTTGATTTGAAGAAAATTTACTTTTATCATGGTTTTCCAGCTGTGGAGTGAGTGGAGATGGAGATTTAGCAGCTTATGTGTCCGGGATTTAAAATGACAAGTCCCAAAATAAGAGCTTAGATCGGGCGGTATCAAGCCTGGCAACAGCCGCTGTACATCTGAGGATACTTACACATCAGTTACTTACTTACTTATATAGACGCGGCATAATGTCGAGTTGATCAAAGGGTAATACATAACCCAGAAACTAAAAAGGACCGCGGAGAATGAATTGCCTTTTCTGAGACGATTCAAAAGTCTAGGCCCAGAAACTAATAAGTGTAGAAGACAAGCTATAAAAAGTGCTGCCATAAGAGTACTCATAAGACTCTGGGCTTGCCATCTTCGCTTCGGCAAACAAAAGGAATACGACGGAGGAGTTGGGACTGAATCTAACATTCCATCTAGCAACCCTTGTACAATCGAACATACTGGATGAGCTACAAACTCAGTACGTAACTGGTATTAAGTACTGCAAGAAATTAACTGGCTAACCTTATGCAACGACTCAAAAGAAATATCAGGCTTATACTGTGACAAATGTGTTCCTATTCAAGTGGATCGAAGCGCATCAAGCACAATTCTAAGCAATGACATCACAACTTCCATTTTCACACTATCACAAATAATTACTATAAAAGGAATCGGAGCTCAATATGCGTTGTGAACTGGTAGTGGACGCAACATGAGTCTGCAGAGAAGCTTCTGAAGAAGAGCGAGGAGAATAGTCAGGAACGAAAGGAGTAAGCCTATCTCAACAAGTGAACAAGTTGAAGATCAAAAAGATGTGACAGGAAAGAAGGAGTAAGATGCAGTCAGCCAAAATTTTACTACCATAGCCTGAAAAAAAGGAGAAAAAGCGAAATGAAATAAAGGAACATACATGCTGTAAAAGAGGTTCAACAACTAAAAGCGATTGGACTCGTCTCAGTACCTAACAATGTCGACTGTGTCAAACAGTTCCTTTATGCCTTTGAAAGAATAGAGGTAGTAATAGAGGTTCTTCCTCTCATGCATATTATTGCAGCTTGAACAGATATCTGTTGATCAAACGGGAACTGGATGCTGCTGTTGCGTACCCTTGGCTAAACTACTGTCGGTCAAAGATGCTTGGAACCTACGGTGGTTAGCATGGGAGGTAAGCCAGCAAGGAAGTTGGATTCTGTTGCACTAAAAGACCTTCTCTCCTTATTGTTGGTGTTACCAAAAGTTTTGAATGCACATGCTTGCGAGATGAGGTGCAATAGAGCTTGCGATTATGATTATTGTCTGTATTATAAATGCGGTTATGTGATCCGTATTGCAAATAGTTATGATGCTATAGGTCGTCAGTGGGAAGTACATCATTGAAGGATACTCGGTGACAGACAATGCACTCGTAAACGTGTGGCAAGTGAATGAATACCGTCGACTTTATGTTACACTTTATGTGAAATGCATAATCTATTATGCAGTTAATTCAAGCAAACTCGAGAGTTGGCTGTCCAATGAGAGTGTGGTATGCATATGTTTGGGAAGTGTAAGCGGGATTGAGAATGCATTTTTCAGAGCGCTACATTAGAACCAGTTGCGTCAAATTCTCAGTATAAGGACTTGGACAATCTTTTTTGTACTACAATCGATGAGGATTATGATATAAAGAAAATGGTTTAACTGCTCTGAATCTATTTTTATATACAAGTTTTATGATATACTAGCTGGCTTACCCGGCTCCGCCGTATCCGGACCAAACTTGGCACACATACACTTCGGGCCCCGGCGGGTGTCACAGTCCACTTTTCGTTATCGATCGATGTCGATTTTACCGATTTTTATCGATTTTTTTGCAGAGTTCACCTACAGGGCTAGGAGTTGGAACAGGGGGTAATCGAGCATGGGGATTCCGAATACAATATTAGTTTTCAGGATTATCGATTACTTTTATTGATTTTATCGATTTTTTGTAAATTTTGGCATGCGGGGCTGGGATTTTGCTCAGGGGGGTAATCGAGCATGCTGATTACGAACACAATATTAGTTTTCAGGATCGTCCATTACTTTTATCGATTTTATCGATTTTTTGAAAATTTGAGCTAGGGGGGCTGGAATTTGGCACAGGGGTGTGATCGAGCATGCTGATCACCCCCCTTGGGGATGATCAGCATGCTCGATTATCCCTCTGTGCCAACTCCCAGCCCCCTAGCTCAAACTTTGCAAAAAAATCGATAAAATCGATAAAAGTAATCGATAATCCCGAAAACCAATATTGTATTCGGAATCCCCATGCTTGATTACCACCCTGTGCAAACTCCCAGCCCCGTAGCTCAAACTTTGCAAAAAAATCGATAAAATCGATAAAAGTAATCGATAATCCTGAAAACCAATATTGTGTTCGTAATCAGCATGCTCGATTACCCCCCTGTGCCAACTCCCAGCCCCGTAGCTCAAACTTTGCAAAAAAATCGATAAAATCGATAAAAGTAATCGATAATCCTGAAAACCAATATTGTATTCGGAATCCCCATGCTCGATTACCCCCCTGTGCCAACTCCCAGCCCCGTAGGTGAACTCAGCAAAAAAATCGATAAAAATCGGTAAAATCGATATCGATCGATGACGAAAAATAGCCTATGACACGCGCCGGGGCCCGAAGTGTATGTGTGCCAAGTTTGGTCCGGATCGGTTCAGAAATGGAATTTTCTATTCGGAACATACGTACACACAGACAGACAGACAGACAAACAGACATTCAGCTTTATATATAAGATTTGATTTTTGAAATATAGGGCATCTCTCGAAGCAGCTTTACGGAGTGCTATTCGTCATGGATTAGCCATTGTCTATGTAAGCGTGGCCAATTGAATGCGAATGAAAAATTGTAAGTTGATTATTTTTTATTGTGAGTAGCGTTTGGGGTTAATTTTCTCTGTTCAACAAAATTTCCCGCTCAAAAGATTTGATGGTGTACGAATACTTAATTCTCTACACTAGTGCTCAGTGTCTTTGAAGTTTATAGGAGTTTTGCTAGATCAAAACTTACAGGTTACCAAACTTTCCTTTTTGGATCCGTTTGTTTTACGTTCGCTGTTTGCTCTGTCGTTGTAAGCCAGCGGTATCGAAGGCACATCTGATCCTTTTATAGCACCCAAGTACTGGGGCGAGTGGCGTAGTGGTATGAGACGTCGCTATGATGGACTCGGGTTCGATCCCACCCCTGCACGAATCAAGCCCTCTACCTTTCGGGGGCGGTAAATCGGTATTAGAGTCATCTCAGAGGATAAAAGCACTGATTTGGTAATCCTCCGCAAGTCCGTAAAAGGCTTTCGCGCATTCAATAGTCTCTTCGACAATGAAGTGCGTTCGGCGCATGTTGAAGAGGGCATTGAAGACGTCGAATTTTTATCCTATTTTTTATTCAGGTACCTGCTCCCAATAAGTATGCAAACGACTCGCAAGGCTTGCATTGGTTTGCATGCTTTTGCTCTTACTGCAAAGCATGCAATCTGATGCAGGACCTTGCAAAATGCGGTTGTGGGGATAGATCTGAAGACGAAATTCTCGGCAGCGAGCGAATCAACGGCGCTGCCACTTGGGGAGGGCCCTAGTTAGGGAACTAAAATCAATTTTCGTAAGCCCCATGTGACCGTTTTGCTGAACACACTGAACACACAACACACAACACACACAAAAACAGCTTACTCACTTGCAATGGCTCACCCAGAATTTTTGTTTGGGGAGAGGGGATAAAAAATGTTCGGATGAAGGTGCGGCCTAGCCACGCTTCCCGGAAAAATTTGAGACTTATTGTTGTTGATTTTAGTAAAATGCTAAGCATTCCTCTTTCAGAAACACCGATTATGTCACTTGCTTGTGTTTTGTACTGTCCCTTCTTGGCAGGCGAGCGCTTGGGGCAGCGTCACGTAACCGCTACTCCAATGCTGCTGAAGCATTCCTTTGCGGATTGCATGCATTGTTCAAAGGTGACTTCAGGTGTGTCGTAAATGCATTCACTCCTTGAAAAAGATAGAATCTCCACAGGGTCACTTGTCAACGTGACGAATGGGTGTTTGCTGACATAGAACTAGTACGATGTGTTATTTTGAAGGCAGTAAAAATGGCACTAAGATTACATCAGGTAGGAGTTATCAGTTACTAGTGCGTCACCTCTGCTTCGCAGAGGTTCGCACTGGCCCTACTTTCTGTATGCCTAGCTCATTCCCGCATAATAATGACATTAAAACTCACCGAGCCATGCAGGCTATCACGAATGATTTGTAAGCAACTACTCATTCCCAGAGCTTTTTTGTGTGAGATCGGTATTTTCGCGTGGATGAAAGTTTTTCGAGAAGAATTAATGCGAATTTGAATTGGTTTTTGGACTTTCTATGACTTGGTAGTCACCATAACGACAATAATCACAGTGGACTACTGTGATTATTGTCGTCCCCTGTGCGAAAATCTTCTCAAACGATCAGGTAAAATCTTGGCAAATTGAACATTTATGCAACTCATTCTTTTTGGCGCCATTTTCATAAACTAATCAACTTTAGTGCAATTTTTTGGGTTAACGTCCATGGCTTGCACATTAGCTTGTCAAACGTATCCATGACTTCGCAAAAAATGTTGATACCGGCCCAATTTTGCTGGTCAGAAGCCAAGTGGATCCGTTTGAGGCGCAATTTTCAACGGACCCACTCAACGGATCCGCTCATGTTTTTGCATGGTGGGCTTTCACGCAGGTAGCGTGAGCTGTGCAAAATTTGGGCTTAGAAAGTTGGCTGGAACACGCTCTACGATTTCGTAACGGACAGACAGACACACGCACACACACAAAAAAACGTAAACACCCTTAGCCCGTTATTATAAGTTATGATACTATTACAATCGTCAATCGCTTTTACTGTCGTTACCGCTACCCTTTGAATTGTTAAAACTGCACAACGGTTCATTGTGAACGCTCAACAACAATGACTGAGCTAACATGTAACAGCGGTAGTGGCGTCAACCACGGTAAAGTGATTCCAACATAACGATTTGAATCGCCAATAAAAAGTGGTAAAGTCCACATTTAAGCCGCTGTAGGCCAAAAGTGCTATGATAAGCTCACGCGTCACAACATAGCTTGCGTCGAGACGGTAGTTTCCTATCTTGACTACGCGCGTGTCCTCATTCTCATCGTTATGATATTTCATTAAGAAACGCACGGCTTCACATAAAAGTCTTCCGCATTAATTTGAGACCGACTATGATTGAAGAAAATGTGTGCAAAACCTACCACTTTGAATAAGTCGATCAAAATGAACCGTTACACTCAGAACACTGCCACATTCTTACTTCAAAACTCATGGCTACAGGAACATAGATAAACTCGGTTCTCAAGTTTCAAAATTCAAGTGTTTCTTAGAGCTTTCTCAACAAAAATAAAATAGTTGATTATGAACAGACGAAAACGGCTAGTCAAGGCATCGCTTCATGAAATTTCCAAAATTAGGCGTGTGCTAGTCAGTGTTAGGCTGTGAATAACAGTTGCATTTTCTTTGATCTTAGCCTTCGTCGACTCATAAGCGTTTATCCACTTTTGGTCGCTTTTGGTAGGTTCTGCAACCGATCAGAGTAAGGCTGCGCTGGCTTGCCTATAACGTTTGCCACGTGGCTCTGCCATTAGTCCTTCCCAACTAATCCCATGTCAGCAATGAAACCCACCGAACATCACGAATGAAATGTCAGAAACAGTTCATTTCGAGGGCTCTGACATAAGTGACCGGCAATTTTGTATGAAAGAAATATTCCAAATGAACGATAAATACGTTTTTGAAATAGTTACTGAATTTTAAGTAACCTAATTACTGGCGCTATGAAGAATAGCTCTCGTGGTCTACACCTATGAGCAAAAATCTCCCAAGTTTGTTGAGTAGAACATCAAAAAATCGATGAATAATCAACAGAACTTCTCGGCGCCGTTTCCGCATGTGCAAATATTTCATAGTGGCTCTTTCAGTCGAAAGGCATACTTTGTTGACAGGCACGTCAAACATATCCACGACTTTGCAAAAAGTTTATAAACAGATCGAATTTTGCTGGTCAGAAGTTAAGTGGACCCGTTTCACGCGCAATTTCTAAAAGATCCACTTATCGGATCCGCTTGTGCTTTTGCGTAATGAACTTTCCTGCTGCTAGGATGTGCTGTGCAAAACTTGCGCTCAAGAGGTTGGCTGGAACCCGCCCTACGAATTTCGTAACGAACAGACAGACACACACACACAAAAAAAAACGTAAACAATCCTTAGCCCGTTATTATAAGTCATGATTGCCCGCCAAGACATGGATCTGCTGGATACGTACACGAAAAGTACAATGCTTATCTCTTATGAAAAGCATAATATAGTAGGTCTTAGATGTCGCATTGTGAGACTCAGGCAAGTAATGATTCCGCAGTTAGAGCTGTACTGAATTGAAAGCATTTTTATAAGTTACACTTACTACCGTCACCCCGTCACCCCCCCCCCCCCCGTGATGGTTTAAGAAGGCAAGTTGTCATCAGAGGAGCGTCCTGTAAATGCGTACGCGTTCATTTTACCGCGCTGCCCATAAGTTGAAGATAGGCCGTAAATTGAACTTACCAACATATCGTGAAAAGCAAAGAAAGAATTTTATAGTGCTTGTGAGTACAGAGTTCCCAAAAGTCAGCTAGCTTACAAGGGAAGGTGTCATTTGCACATTTTTATAATCCATGTAAGCAAATTTCAAAAACTTCGCTACCCATTCTCGGGGGGGGGGGGGGGAGGCCTTCGGTCCGCCACTGATCTATAGTATATCTTGAATCAGCTTCAAACGCTGATTCGACATATGGTATTCTTAGCTGCCGCATCAACCTGAACGAGTTATTGACTTTTTCTGCGCAAGTTTTGCATACTCATCGATTTACTAACGTCACGGTTCATCATCTAAGTGCTAATACACTTGCATTAAGCTTCTTTTCAGTGAAGAAAGATTAAATTTGGAGTTATTTCGATAACCCAGCACCCTTTTCTTGCAGATTTTTACCTACAGGCAGTCTTCCCAAGTTCAGCAGTATGCCGATTCCGCGCAGTAAGAAGCTCATAATTCGCTTCCTAATGGTGCGCCGCATAAAGGAATGCATAGTTGGAATTATCGTTGGAAGCTGATTCAGAATATATATATGTCCATGCCAAAAGGCCGAGTTAACAAGGCAATGTTCAAAATTCGATGTGGCTAATCGAAGCAAGCCGTATACCGTTGAACACTCCATGGAGAAATGGTTACACATCCGTGATAGATTCGATATTGCTTATCGGTCTCCTATACGAAGTTATGGCCCTCGATTTTCCCGTGTCACCACCATGCTTAATAAATAGTTGCCGCACAACTACGCTAGTGTACTCATGGCGTAGTGGTAAGTATGCAAACTCATAAGACAAGTCGAGTTTTTTGTATGCAAGTTCGATTCCTTTTGTTTGCTACTTTTTTGCAACCCATCCCCAATATCTATATTGTTAGCGCGAAATCTCTAACGCCGTCAAAAAGGTAATTCACCATCAAAGACCGAATCTATCAAACCAAAAAGCCGTCAAGCCAAAAATATGCTTAATTATCAGTCAATAATTTTGCAGAAGTGATATCTGATTCTGGGAAACATTATCAAGTGTAATGATGTACACCAGTCATTATAATAGAATTAGTTTGCTTGAAAGAAAATTAGCCTATAATGCTTGTTTTTAGCTATGATTAGGGTTTTAAATATTACTCTTTTGACAAACAAGATAATCGTGTTGGCCGAATATTTCAGCAACAATAATAATATATCTTCGACAAGTTCATTTGTTTTTGCACTAAACTTGATAGTTTGCAATAAAAATATTCAATATAGTAACAGATGTAGAGAAAGTGAATTGAAACCCTTTTTCAAGCGTCTCCGACGTAAATCTCTCATATTTGCAATGAAGAATCAATTTGACCAACTTACTAGATACATAAAACCGAAATGGATCGAAAAAGGCTTGCGAACTGATTTTTATTGGAAAATGATTCCGAAAGCCGATTTTCAAACTAGTTGAAATCTCTGGAATCTACTGTATATACAAATTGCAACAAGTTAAAGAAGCATGAACGAAACATTAGAGAGTTTTCTAATAGTTACAACGCATTCCTAGGTTGATTAACAAGGAGCGACCAGCGCACGCGTACAGTGCTCCTAGCGGCTGGCACATGCTAATGTTTATAAAGTCACTCACCCGCAGTCAGTGGCGTACCCAGGATTTCCGTTCGGGGAAAGGGCGACAAAAAATTTTCTCGGATGAATGTGCGTGGCGTTAGCCACGCACTTCAAAAATTTTTGGGATGAATCAAAAATTTCGCGCCCATTTTGGGAGGAAGAGCGCCCCCCCCCCCCGCCGCCCTTCCCCTCGGTACGCCACTGGTAGCAGTAGACTACTAATCTGGTCGACGGAGCTGGCAATAAAAGAATGCATTTTTTCCCTCCAGAAGCTATTGATTTAGGACCATTTCGTAGCACCCGATGAACTCGAAGAGTCGGAGTCGTTATACAATCTCATAGTCGATCATGAAAGCAATATTTTTATCTCCCATGAGCACGATCCTGCATGGCGCGATGCAATCATCGCAAACACTCCATCTTTGTTAACTTTGCGGCACATTCACGAGGAAAGCCAGGACGACTACAAGATTATAATGTTGACGAAAATGCAGCTAAACATGAGGTGAGTTGATATGAAGATGTGAATATGTTTCACTTCATTCTTATTATAGAGTGATCAAGTTGAATCGGGAATGTGTGAGATCATTTTGGGCTGGGCAGCAACAAGAGCTAATCTTTTTGAGAAATACAAATCGCGAGCGAGAAAGTATTCAAAACTATAGACAGGTACTAAGGTAAGACATTGAAATGATAATCTATCTTCACTAAAAAGAGAAGCTTTCAGAAATTTGATCAACAGCTCAGCTGATCAGCCAATCGGATATCCTATTTATGTTTCACCTTTGACAACATCATTCGCTTCGACTCATCCTCAGATAGAGCGTATCGTTGGGCCGTTCACTGTTATGGTGAGACATTATAAATCCTTTTATATTGCTCTGTTTCGCAGATTTTTGTAAGAGGTAGGCAGCAAAAATGTATTTTAGCAGGACTGAGGTCAATTTTAGGCAAATCTTATATATAAAGCTGAATGTGTGTCTGTATGTCTGTACGTATGTGCGGAATAGAAATTTTCATTTCTGAACCGATCCGGACCAAACTTGGCACACATACACTTCGGGTCCCGGCGGGTGTCAGCTTACTTTTCGTAATCGATCGATATCGATTTTATAGATTTTTATCGATTTTTTGCAAAGTTTGAGCTACAGGGCTGGGAGTTGGCCCAGGGGGTAAGTGGGCATGGCGATTCCGAATACAATATTACTTTTCAGAATTATTGATTACTTTTATCGATTTTATCGATTTTTTTGCAAAGTTTGAGCTACAGGGCTGGGAGTTGGCACAGGGGGTAATCGAGCATGCTGATTTCGAAAACAACACAGGGAATGGGAATTGAAGTGTGGAAGTGGGTACAGGGAAAGGCTGTACAGGGATAGGGATGGGACCTTTATTACAGTGTTTTGACAGGGCCGAGCGGAGCCGGGTAAGCAAGCTAGTAAGTTAATAATAAGTTAACAGCCATGCAGATGACCTCACAAAACTATTGCAATTTTTCCAAATTTTGTAGAATTCCTATGCAGACCAAAACCTAAGCCTATTACTTGCATGGTTCTATACCTATAAGGACCGCATACAAAAACGCCACCTCTCCCACAGTTCCTCTAGGCACTTGTAAATGTTACCTATTCAGGGTATCGCCTCGACCATCAGAAAAGCTTGGAGAGCATTGTGTGCTCATTTACAATCTAGTGGATCATCTTCAGAGCATTTTTAGTCACACAAATGAAGTATTTTGTTCTTGGCATCAAACTACTACGCTCGTATTTTTTGAAGAAACGACGCGAAGTGGCGCGATTTATGTATTATCAGTGGCCATCTTTCGCTTCAAAGTGGACGAATTTTAATCCAAGAGTACCATTCGACTCTGCTCGGCGCGGCGCACCTTTTGATATATAAGTGCCCGCCTAGACAAGTAGGAGGCCAGATTTCACGAATCGGTTCAGATTATTACTTACGGTAGGTTATTCAGGGTGCTTGTTCATGGCACTCACTGGGCAACCTACCGTAAGCAAAAATCTAAAACGATTAGTGGACCCGGCCTCTTACTGTTTCCAAACAGGTACTTCTATAAATCGGAACATGCGCCGCTCCGAGCTGAGTCGGATGGTACCCGTGGATTGAGATTCGTCCGCTCTGAAGCGAGATATGCTCATGTGCGATGATGTCACATGAATCGGGCGACTTCGCGTCGTTTATTTAAAAAATACGAGCGGTATTGCAGTACCTTTGATATCTTGTTATTGTTGTGCTTTTCCTTTGAATAAATATGGTGTCTATTCAACTAGCCACAGAAGTGTAACTTTGTTTGGTAGCGCTTCTACAGATTATTATACATCACTCAGACACTTGGAGCGTGCAGCACGCGTGCAATCACAGGGTGACGCAACACCCAGTCCGCGGATGGCGGGACATTGGATGTCGCACCGCTGCTGCTGGTTCGCGGATGGCGAACGCCCGTAAAAGGGCTCGGGACTGGGAGGAGTTGCAGGTGCGCTCCATCGCCATTTCGATTAGAGCACCTCTTTTCAACTGGAACGCACTATCTCCAAACACTTCACGTTTGACACATTTGACGCCGTTCGTATATAGGTATGGCGATGAGTACGTGTCTTTTCTTTTGCATCCGTGTGAAAATTTGAAATGTTAACGTACATAGTCAGAGAGTCAAAAACTAATCCGCTGTTGTTAAATGGTTTTCCTGATTCGTTTGTGCTCTTCCGAGTAGGAGACTTTTCGCTTCATGAACATCCCGCTTGCAGAGACGCAAAGCTTGGGGCAGATATATCCATATTATACATTGTATATCATCAGTGATGAAAGGATGTTGATGTATTATTGGAATGCATAACTCTCACTAAACTCAGGAGGACTGAAAATGAAATGGCATTGCTGTCTCGCGGTGATAGAGAGGAAGTTACCGAACACTGTCATCATATGAAGCGCTACTGTGCATCGGGTTCAATTCTATTATGCTTATACAGTTTCTTTTTCTGGTTTTTTACACGAAAATGTGTTCGATCTCCAGATGTATATTAGCATTTGATAGGGATCGTATGCTGTTCTCTCGATTGCCTTTCTCGATGAAGCTAGGTGTTTCGTTCACCATCTGCGAATTCTACTGATGAACATCAAAGGTAATGTGCAAACGATACAAGGTGAGTTGATTGGTAAGTTGTGGAAGAAGGGAATCACACGTACTTAAATCTACACATGGCTGCGCAAAGCGCGCCCTATGACCCAGTACAAATTTAGCCGGCGCGCAAGGAATTGGCGCTGGGGTGCGCTATAGTATTGGGACTTGGCGTTTTCATCATGCTCACTACTCCATTCTTGATAGAATGCTTTACTTTTCTATTTGCGTCGGTGTTTTCATCACGCTCGCTACTCCATTCTTGATAGAATGCTTTAGTCTTCTATCTGCGTCCGTAGCTATCTCTGCGCAAGTGTTGCAAACAATCTTTTTTGCAGGTTTGTTGCAAGCTATATGACGGTTGATGGATTTCGTAATCTCGCAGCATTAATTTTGTAAATGATCTGTCTGTCGTCAAGCGTGGAGTTTTTGTCATACTATTGCAAACACGGTATTATAAAACTGGCCATGAGATTACAATTAAGTAAGTTACTTGTAATAACTTGTATATCAGTTCCGAAAATTTGTTCGGCGCCGCTTTCTAGTAGCTCTCATGTGTTGCAATGGAGATTTAGCCTATCGGAATATTGTTTTGAACGGATATATAGCATTTCAGGTGCGGCTACTGTCGTGAGACAAACTGAGTTTTTTTTTCGGATCGTTTGTACGAAAATTTGAGTTCAGAAGGACCTTTTTTGGCCGAAATTCAAGTTGAAGAAAACTTGAGTCTGGTGAAGGTGAGTGTTTTACGTAAACGCAATAGGCTTACTCTGATGTAAAATGTCAGATCACCATATCTTAGGTAGTATAACCACGCTCTTTACTTCTTTCGTAATTAGTCACCTAACATTATTGGATTTTTGCATACAATCTACTTTGGTATCTACGACCTTTCTTTGCAGGTGCATGTTTGGCTTACGATAAAGCCAAAAATGTGCGTATTGCCAATGCTTTTACAAGATGATCCAAGTGCGAGCACGTGTGAGTTTATTTCTGCCCACTTCTTCTTTAAATGTAAAATTTTCTGATTTTTAGCCAGCAAAAGCCAAAGTTCAACCGGAGGCGATGGTACGACTGCCAACAGATCCAAATTAGTTCGTAATGAGAAAAGTCGAAGATCAACTGTTCCGCACCAATAGCCTGATCCAGAACAGCCGTCAGCAAGATCTCGCGAGCTCTCCTTGTATGTTTGGTTGCAATCCTTTGTTGGTTTTCTAATGTCATATCACTATCAGAGCTTTAACTGTTACTTAATATGTATGAGCCTGTCAATTCATCGATGAGTAATTGGAATTAGTCGGGCGCACACACTACTATACCCCTAGTCAGTATATTTTGTGAAAGCAGTTTGTCAATCTATTTTTCAGTAATTTTGTCTGTGTGAAAGGTACGGCTGACATCAAGTTTTTGTAATACCTCATATTCTGTTCGACTTATCATCAACCCACATCCACTCAATCAACCTCCATATAATACCTTTGCCTTTGTCTCAAAAGCCAGCTCAATTACTCCTTGTTATGTACTAAATTGCTATGACCGGTGATCCCTACTTCCTGTCCGTTTCTCATGTTTGCATTGAAAAATCATGAGGAAAAAGGAACCAAATGATGTATTTGTTTTCACATCAGACGAATGTAAACACTTGCATGATATAACTCCTCAAAAATAAGATACAACAAAAACAGATCCTTGAAGCACGTTTGTTACAATAACAAGGTCGACATGAAGAAATACCTTATGGCACAAAAAAGATACGAAAGAAGTTTCACGTAAACGATAATGCCTAGTCTAGACTCGCCAAGAAGCATTATGTAGAAGTTCTAGGTACCTCACCGAAGTTGTAATCAGCTTGACTCTCTTGGAAATCCTTTTCATCTAAAGTAATGTTACACAGCAGACTGATTCTATCTGATAGGCATACCTTGACTTAGGTAAACTTTTGCAAGCACATATTTGCGAAACAATCGAAATAAGCCGATCAATTCAGAAACGCCAGGATCAAGAGAGAAAGAGAAGAACACCTGCACTGGAATTGCGGATACTTTCACTATAGAATCTTCAAGGCTTACTCTATGAAACAGTGAGTGGTTAAGTTGATCCCACTCTCCGTATAAGCATTTACCATGAAACACTCACCTTCACGAGAGCTGCGTTAACTTCGATTTGGTTCTGAACAGAGTAGGTCTTCCTCAGCTTGTTTTTAAACAAGCGACCCTGAAATGTCGTAATACAGTGCTGGCCATAGCTATAAAGCCACCCTAAAAATCACTGTAATTTGCTTTCTCTTGCTCATAATTGACTGAAAAACCACTATTTTGTGTGCAAACTAACGTCACACCAGTGACCAGAACGGCTCCCAATTTTATTGATTTTGGCCGGAGAAAAATTAAAAAATTTGAAAAAACGGGTTCCAAAGGCTGGTCACAGCTATAAAGCCACCCTCTCATTTTCAATCAGTACTACGTTTTGTGAACCTCAAATTTTTTGTACATATACAACATCAAAATATGAAACATTTGTTACACTTGGAAGGAGTCGCCTTTCAAAAAAAAGATTCGTACTGCATTTTCTGCTCTAAAATGCATAATAAGTCACATTATTTGCAAAAAAACTGCTTTTTCATTGAATTTTGAAGCACTTGTTTGACTCTAATGAAGGTCCTAGGATTTGTTTGGCCTTTGCAATGAACGATGTGAAAAGTGTTGAACTGAAAATTGCGTAGTTGCTAATATTGATAAATGAGCCCTCATCTTACCGAGGTGTAAGCACGCTTCTGAGGCGCAAAACTCGACTTCTGACGCGCGAAAACTTTTGGTTGGAAGTTGACACCTTGTCTGCATGGCGACGTACTCATGCAGAAGCTGTCTTTTTTTTGCAAAGACGAATTTGCCGCACTAGAGTCAGAACGCTTTGTCTGCAGTTTGGTTGTGCGCAGTGTATCTCACAAGACTTCAGATTTCACTGCTTTGAACTCCTCATCAAGTCAAATCTAACTAAACTGTCAGGAATAGTAGGATTTTGAAGTTTTGAGTGGTTTTCCGCTCGATCGAAGTGGTTAGATGGAGTCATGATCAGACGGAGTGCATAACCGAACTGCAGACATTTTAGGAAAAAAGGCGTCCAAAGCGGAACCAGAATCCTCAAGTTGCGATGACGTACAAGCTATGCGCACGAGTCTATCGTTGTACAAGCGACGTGCTGAGCACGCGACAGAGCTTTTCAGGCATTAGAACTCAATTTCTGCGGTTCAAAAACTCGTCTACCTGGAGGTGAGGTTGGGGTTCGTAATTAATATCAGGGACTAAGCAATGTTGACTCAAGCGCTTTTCGCTGTATTCATTGCAAAGGGTCGGCAAAGCCTAGAACCTTCATCCGAGTCAAACAAGTGCTTCAAAATTCAGTGAAAAAGCAGTTTTTTGCAAATGATGTGACTTATTATGCATTTTAGAGCAAAAAATGCAGTACGAACCTTCTTTTTGAAAGGCTACTCCTTCCAAGTGTAACAAATGTTTTATGTTTTGATGTTCTATATGCACAAAAAATTTGAGGTTCACAAAACGCAGTAATGATTGAAAATGAGAGGTGGCTTTATAGCTGTGACCAACCTTCGGAACCCGTTTTTTAAATTTTTCAGTTTTTCTCCCTCCAAAATCAATAAAATTGGAAGCCGTTCTGGTCAATGGTATGACGTTAGTTTGCGCGCAAAATAGTGGTTTTTTAGACAATTATGAGCAAGAGAGAGCAAATTACGGTGATTTTTAGGGTGGCTTTATAGCTATAACCAGCACTGTATCTCCCTTCAAAATACCGACTCGATAGGCAAAATTTTCAATGCAAAGTGTGTAGAAAACAAACAACATGTATGTGCGACCGCTAAGTAAATTTTCACTTTACTGTGATGCTTCTTTCCAGCTTATCCCAGCTAAGTAGCTAGCTAGTACTAAAACGGCACCGAATAGAAAAATTCTAGTTGTTAAAGCAACTTACTTGATGTACCCCCTTCTCCAGTCTTCAATGAAATTGACCAGAAATTAGTAGTTCGACAAAAACTCCCGGCCGTGGCAACAAAAACATCACATCGATGTTGCCAGTGAACATTTCGCGTCAATCAATCGCCATACTGCCTGTGCTTGCAACAAACCTGCAAAAAAGATTGTTTACAAACGTTTGGCGCAGAGATAGCTACGGACGCAGATAGAAGAGTGAAGCATTCTATCAAGAATGGAGTAGTGAGCGTGATGAAAACACCGACGCAAATAGAAAAGTAAAGCATTCTATCAAGAATGGAGTAGTGAGCGTGATGAAAACACACCGACGCAAATAGAAAAGTAAAGCATTCTATCAAGAATGGAGTAGTGAGCGTGATGAAAACACACCGACGCAAATAGAAAAGTAAAACATTCTATCAAGAATGGAGTAGTGAGCGTGATGAAAACGCGAAGTCCCAATACTATAGCGCACCCCAGCGCCAATTCCCTGCGCGCCGGCTAAATTTGTACTGGGCATAGGGCGCGCTTTGCGCAGCCATGTGTAGATTTAAGTACGTGTGAAGGAAATCGCACAACATAGAGGATTACTTGAATCTGGTTGCACCCTGAGCAGAAGTTGTGAGCAGAAACGAGTTCTCGGCTACTTTTGAAGCACAAAATCTGATCCTTATTGATAACGTTGCTTTCGTAGAGTGCTAAGCACTACATAGCAATTTTCCCTGGATGCGTCTCGCGCACCAGTCGAGAATTGAGTACAGTAACATACTTTCGTCGAAGAGAATACTAGGTAACCCCCTCTTTGTAAATTGCATTAAAACTAACGCCTGTTCAAGCGTCAAATCATTGTGCAGCTACCCTTCAAATTGAAGATTGGACAAATGACCTTCTTTCAAGTTATATGTGAACTCTGAGCCAACTTTGGCCAACGATGCTAGGTGTAACAGCTCGACAAATAAGCTCCACAAACAAAGCAGCTATACATAAGAAAACAAGAAAGCAATTCCTTGAATAAGTGCAGGACATACTCAATGTCAGCTTGATCATAATAAGTGTGGAAACGAACAATAAAATGTAACATACAATGGAATCACTTACTTTTATGGAGTTCAAGTTGGAAGTCCAAAACTGTGCGTGGGACGGGACAATCGATCATACCAAAAGAAATATTAGATTTTCAACATAACGTTTTACAGACGAATTTCATAGAGATGTAAAGTATGTACGTGTACCCATAGCCATATATAGAAATGGCGTCACTGTGAAGTGTTGGAGGATGATGTTAAAAGAGGAAGCAATCGTAACAGTGACTAAATACACTGGTGTAACTTATTGCGTTACATACTTCAGCAACTTTCTCTAGTTTACCGGATAACATGTAGCAATCTCTTCCTCAGTCAATCTCATAACTTGTACTAGCAGCCGTGCAACAGTCATACATCAGCAACCTTTCATCACCGGTGACACTGCTTGTCAGATGCGTCAAGCGTTTGGAGATAGTGCGCTCCAGTTGAAAAGAGGTGCTCTAATCGAAATGGCAATGGAGCGCACCTGCAACTCCTCCCAGTCCCGAGCCCTTTTACGGGCGTTCGCGGATGGCTACCATTTTCCAGTTTCTCATTGCGCTATTGTCGCAGGTCTTGATAATCAACTCCACACTTCATACGCCAAAAGTATGAATTCGTATTCGAATCCAAAAATTCGGGCCCAGCGCCCATTCACACCGAGGTTAACGTTTGGAAACAAAAAAAACTTCTGTTTCTGCAACTACTCATACACTAACAAGGGAACGATCCCAACTTAAGGTGGCGAATTGGAATGAACCGCATACCATTAGATGCGTCTTGATGAGCTGATTCCAAATCTACCTTTCATATCTGCGGAGCCGTTCTCTGCAAAAAGCTATTAGCGTTTGAAAATGTGAAGTCACTGGGGTTTTAATGCATAGTGTGCTTCAAAATCCAACTTGGGAGTGTATGACTAGCATGATAGTGTACTTATTTCAAGGAGCACTTACACTATCCAAATAAGTTTTTTGAACAACTAAATTTCGAGGTATGGCGCTGTACATTTGCCAAATTTGGACTTTTCATTGCTCATAGCTTTTACCAAAGAACTTTAGTTGCTTTTTAGCTGTTCGAAAACACTTATCTGTCTTTATTTAGAATGTGAGCATTCCCTGGAATCAGTGCACTTGATATCATGCTAGTCGTGCACTTCTAAGTTGGATTTCAAAGCACATTATGCATTAAAACCTTGATAACTTCACATATTCAACCGCTCATAACTTTTTGCAGATAACGGTGTCGCAGATATGGAAGACAGATTTGGAATCAGCTCATTAAGACGCATCTAATGGTATGCGGTTCATTCCAATTCGCCACCTTAAGTTGGGATCGTTCCCTTGTAAGATATGATATCAAACCTCCTGGATGATGAGGCAGCCTAACCCTGCGTCGTACACTATGCGGGTACCCCTTGCGCCTACAGCACGTGATGATTGCAGGCGCGGGCCGCACGGGTGGAGTATAAAGGCACGCACGCGGGGTACCAAAAAATTAGGCACGGGGGTCGAGAGATCGAACATAAACGTAGCGCGCGGGTCGCGGTCTTGGCCATTAGTACGCGCGCCGCACGCGCCAAATATCTAGGATGGCACGCGTTTGGCGTACTGCCGGACACGCCCACAAATAAGGCACGCGCCTTGCCGCATTGACCATAAACGCGCGTGCGCCGCACGCTCCAACTGTCTGAGCAAGTTTCTAAACTCGATAGATAATCGTCACATTATGACAACGGAGTTAGGTCTGTGAGGCCTAAGGCATACCTCACGCGAATCGGCCGAACTTTCACGCGACTTGGCGATTTGCCAGATTTCTACAAATTTATCGTGCGCGCTTTCGGATGCATATTTGGGTAGCTTGTGTAGGTTGTTGCAAATGGAGCAAGTCCTGACCAAAGACAGCGCATTAACGACGAATTACGAAGTGTCGCTGTTGTGCCAAATTGCGCAGCGACCGGAATCGCGCGTATGCCTTAGACCTAAGAGATCCTTAAAGCCAGTGTCCGGGCAAAACTCAATTTTGAGATTTTGTGCTTACCTGGGCCTATTCGCTACGGTGAATCCGAAATGCATAATGGAGAGCGCGAAAACGGCGAAAAACGGGTCTAACACAGGAGGGAAATCGACAGGTGGGCGGGGTCCTCCCCACTGTGAATTCACGCTCCCAGCTTCCGGAGCGATCTTCTCACTTCCGGTTCCAAGTCAATCATTCGCCCTAGTCGGTAGCGATTTTAGGACAGCTAGCGGGATCGTGAAGTCCGCTCCGGAAGGTGGGAGCGTGAATTTACCGTGGGGAAGACCCCGTCCACTTGCTGTTTCCCTCCTGCGCTAGAGCCCCTTTTTGTCGTTTTCGCGCTTTCCAGTGTGGATTTTGGGATCAGCATGGTGAATAGGCCCGTATAAGCACAAAATTTCAAAATAGAGTTTTTGCCCGGACACTGCCTTTAAGTACATAGTAAGTAACGGATATGGCTAAGAGACGGGAAAAAAAATGAAATATTACTTCCGCTTTTCGAGAACATTGCATATTCTTAAACCCGGACCTATTAGGGACTCAGTCCGTTTAGAAAGAAGCCAATTATAGAATAAGCGATAGACTGGCAAACTCTAGAAAGTAAAGACTTTGCAAATAGAGTGTCGTTTTCTGTAAAATGCCTCGCGCTCGGCTGTGAAGTGCCAAAAGCATTGTCTTGGGAGATTGGAGATTTAGACGTTTTAAGCTGTTGATTTCAACTGAATAAGAAATAAATTGATTTTAAGTGAGGTTGTTTTCTTTCTAGCTGGGTGTTGTGTGGTGTGAGAGATGAAGCGTTGATGCTGCAGTTACGTGAGAGACGCTGCTGTAGGAAATCAGAACGAAAAAGTCCTCTACAGATGGTGTTTGAATGAGAAGTATTGAAGGATGATTAATCCCAGCTCAAATTTTCTAGCTTAAACGAAATCTATGCTTACTGAAAGAGCTACCTATAGAATGTTTGCCAGAAAGCAAACAACGTATGACCCTCAGGACTGGTTTGCGTAATGTCGTAATCGCACCTTAATCACATGCAGTGGCAACATTGATTAGTATCCCTTTTATCACCCTTCTTTAATTTTTGAAAAACATCGGAGTCGAGGGTAGTACCCTTTATCAAATCTCACATACACCCGATTTTTAGAATTCGCTAATATTAGAATTATGGATAAAATATTGCTAATTCTGGCATATCAGCTGTATTTGGGCAAAGGATCAGAAGATGTTGAGCGACTTTGTCAACTAAAACCTACATCTGGATTATGTCAGCCATACAAGACCTATGGGAGTCAATTTGCAGGTAAAAGTGATTGATAGCGTCTGCACCCGAATTCCCTTTACTACATTGACATCGATTTCGACTACTTAGGTTACAACACAACGTGGACTCGTCTTCGCGACCTTTCCAAGGGAGATCAAAATTTTTTGCGACTTGCTAGACAAACCGACGACGATCCTGTCAGTAAAAAAATTTCTCACATAATTCTTTCGCTGCCGAAATCATGACGCATTGATTACTCATTCAAAGCTGACCACTCAGCTTCTGCGCGCATGTGCATCCTCATTTATCTCTGTCTTTGGACGCTTTTTACTTATAGAAAGAATCCATTTACTTTGTCTTTGAGCTATTAGTTTTGTAATTGTTCCATGTTGCTTAGATTCTTCATTTTAGTCCTGCAAGTCACTGAAGGCAGAATATGACCAAGTATGCTTCACGCCACCGCCTGCTGCTGCATTCCAAGAAACCAAGGTACATCACAAAAGTTGTAGGCTAATTTCAATTCTTTATTCTTTTTAGGCGTTTTGTGATGCATTTGTAGAAACGTGTGCAAAGTCACTGAAAACCAACTTATTTACAAATCTAAAGTAAGTATTATTCTCCATTCTTACTGCAATGCTTTGAGAAAAAGAACTCTTTCAGAGCGATTGCCATCGACTATACTGCTTACTGCAAAGAGCAACGAGAGCGTTTCCGATATGTTTGTCCAAAGCCATTGAGGTTTAGGACTTATGCCGAGCAGGTAATTTCTTCTTCCTGCAGTAGGAACTTTACCTCAAATCTTATGCGGACAGGCTGTCGACTTCTGTCTTCGTTACACGGAACGTTGCCCGAAGGAAAAGATCCCCGACGAGCCGGTTCCGTTTGAAATAGCTGTAAGTACCGAGAATTCATAAGAAAATATTCTAGCTCACCTGATCCTTATAGGATGAATCTCACATCTACATTCGAGAGATTGAATCACGATGTAGGACAGCATACAGAGCCGCACGAACATTCTGCCTGCATCCGGAGCTACTTAAATATCCAAAATATGCAATACCTTGTGCGATGTACAAAGCTGATTGTATAGATGTGTACAAGAAGGTCATCTACGGCTGACTGAAAATATTTCCGATAAAGTTTGTTTGTTCAACAAAGAAATAACCATGTTGAGTTTTCTTCGAAGTTATCGAAATGAAAGTATTAGTGAGGAAAAGGATGGCGTTGCACTTTGGTATAAATAATTTCCCATTTGCGACAAGGGCCCAAACATGGGTGACCCTGAGTAAAATGTCAGCACTTTCCCCCACCTTTGAGGTCTAAAATTAAAGGAGTGGGCTCAGTTGTAGGAAGAAAGGAGTTTTTTTGAAGTTAGTAGCTGTTATTTACGGTTAAACAAGTTTTCTGTCTAGCAATAAAATAAACACAGAGTCAGTTATCACCTTGTTTATACTTCAATCTGTTTTCAGGATCACGTGATTTGGGTTTGGCATAGTATGCGATCGAAACAATGCCGTGTAGAAGGACATGATGCATTACACAGTTCGTTTTCTGAGCGGGAGCAGCTTTGACGTCTTCACATCTTATCAATCATAGTTTCATTACTGCCTAATCGTTACCAAAAAGTTGGAATAATTGTGTTCATCAAGAATCTCTTGATCTGCATTCGCAGCTCATTCCTAGACTTGTTTATAGGCAAGATGTATTTATTCTTTTTCTTCGGACTGTCTTCTCATTCACTGCTCAATCCAACACTTGCATTCAGTTTCTGTTCCTGAAATGCTTTGAGCTCTAAAAGAGAATATTTATTCTGAACACGAAGGTCAGAAATTGAAACAAGCTTTTATGAGTTTTTTTTCTTGCCGGCCTTACTGCATGTTGTTCATCCGTTCGACTCTGAAGCATAACTCCACACCTTGATGTCAAGCAAAATGGAAAGTTATGGTATTACAGCAATCTGACCGTATACGACCGATTGAGCGATGATTATTTCATTTCTACTTGCCTTGTTACTATACATGAGCTACCTCAGCTTTTCTGCTGCACAATACTTCCCGGAAAACAGGTACCCATTCCTATCACTTATTTGAAAATGACAAAAAATATCATGGATAGTCCTTGTATTTTCTTAATTCGTATGTTATTTGGACGAAATTTGCCCCAAAATCAAATGTGGCATTCTTCTGTAGCAAATTTTGTTCAGTTTGATTTCTTTTTTGAGAGAGGAAGGCGGAAGCTTTCTAGAGGTGCTTAGCATATTAGGAGCAAAAGTTCTGTCGCACCATTTCCAAAATATCGTAACTTCCTTTCGCCACGATGTAGATGCATGAAATTGTTATCATTAGAAGGAGTAACTCATGTACTTGGGGACGAGTGGCGTAGTGGTATGAGGCGCCGCTAAGACCAGATAGGGCCCAGGTTCGATCCCCGCCCCCGGGCCAACCAAGCCCTCTACCCTCCGGGCTGGTAAATTGGTACCAGAGTAATCTGGAAGGATAAAAGCACTGACTTGGAAACTGCTGGACCCGCAAGTCACTGTAATAGGCTCGCACGCACACAATTGCTTCTTCGACTACGAAGTTAGTGTGTGCGTTCGGCGCATGCCCTCAGAGGGTATTGAAGACTCCGAATCCTTTATCCTTTATTATCCTAGCTCACGTACTTCTTACAGATTTTTGGATACCTTCAACTAGGCTTCACTCGCAGGGAGTGTTTGAAAAAGATATAACCCGGTTTTGGTGATTTGGCAAGCAGAGTTTAAAACCTGAAAAACTGTGCCGTAACTTCCGAAACATCAGCGGCATCAGTTTTCTATGCTTCTATTCCTAATCGAGCAAAGTTTGTGCTGATTGAGCTCTTCTTTGAAAAGTTATGATTTTCGAGAAAAAATGCTGAAAAATCGATCTCTTAGGAAAATTGATTTTTAAGCATTTTTTCTCAAAATAACTTCTCAAAGATGAGCTCGATTGGCACGATCTTTGCTCAGCTAGAAAGAAAAGGTCAGAAAATTAATGAATCTGATATTTTGGATATTATGACAGAGTTTCTCGGTTTTCAAAAGGCTTGCCTCAAAACGCCGAAATTTGAGTAATATCCTTTTTTCCAATTTTAACTCTGCAGCCACAGTTTAGTAGAGTAGGCAAAAAGCCATTAGAAAGTATTATACATTGTTTACTCTTTCTAGCAGTACTTTTGCCATGCAAGACTATCGTCACATGAAAAAGGCATAATTTTTTTTTTGAAATATGGTACAAAACTTGCGGGTCAACCTAATATAACCATCGATCAGCGGCGATCAAGCAAACGCTTCAAAATTGTATTTCTGTATCGCAGTTAACGCGGAAAGGAACAACAAAATTCATGGTTTTGACTTTGGTGCTTGGAATACCTTTATATTTGAGTAAAATGTGATGTTAGATTTCTTCAAGAATGAGTTTTGATATTTTCAGATATTAGGCTTTTTAAAAATAAAATTTTTAGTTCCAAATTCCAATTTGTTCAAACCTGAGCATTAAATGTATTCTTCAGTTTTACTGTGCTCACAGATTTGCAATGGTGGCGTTAGGTCAGAAAGGGGGGAATACAAAGTTATACCACCATAGTAAATGTTCGGCACAATTAAACTGAAGAATTTCATCTATGATATTTTTTGGAGTACAGGCAAGAATAAGGAAGATATCTATGACGTATTTTTACATTAGACATTTTACAAACATTATGTAGGCAAATTGAATTTCTAAGCAAATGTAATACAAAACCAGTTCACGTTGAAAAGATGCAGTCTAAAATATTTTCAAGGATGCACTCGAGAAGACATTACGGACAACATCGACGAACGGTTACTGAACGGGAACATCCACGAAGATTAGAAGAGTATGAAGAGCAGCCTCGGACTTATAGAGACGCTGTACAAGCACAGCAGGATGAATATTACAACAACTGCTTTGATCACATGAAGGAGTACGCAGCTCAAGTCTACAGGAAAAAGTACTTTGCTCTCCGTTTTCACACTGTAGCTTGCTTTCTTGAAAAAAAAGTGGAGACGGCGAAGTTACATGCGGTATATTTAGATATGAGGAATTGGAAAAAAAGCAGGCCGAGGAGAGGGAACGCTTTTTGAAAACGATGAAAGAAGCCGGAGTGCCTACGGCGGAACTTCCGACACCTCATGGTGGTGAAGAGCACGAAGAAAAGCCAGAGTCTGTGTACTTGATATAAAACGATCTATTACAGTGTCAAAGGCACCGTCCACCAAGGTCGAATTGTAAGATCTTGATGCTGTACAATAGCGGAGCATCTATGTAAGTAAACGCCTGAATCCCACTGCAAAGATATACAATACCACCCGTAATTTGTGAAAAAAAATGGCGGCGGCACTTAACTTACGCGGCGCCGCCGCAGTTAGGTGACAAACGCCGCGTCGCGCGACAAAAGTCGGCGGAAAAGCGGCATTTGCCGCCGACTTTTGTCGCGCAACGCCGCGCAACGCCTAACTTCTTTATAAAAAAGACCTTATCTTGATCCAAAATTTATGAATTCTATATATAAGAGTACCATTCAACTCAGCTTGACGAGGCGCATCTTCCAGTATACAGATGTGCCTAGCTGTGGGATATAAGTCTTTTCCTGGAATTTTAGTGTAACTGGATCATTCGCTGTGCTGATTCCAGAGGCTACATACACAATCTGTTGAGCACTGCAGAAATAGGGCAGGTATAGTTTAAGAGCTCATTCTGCATGAATATGTATGAAACTGGGCTTTTCTCGGCGAAGTATGACGGGTCCCAAAATGCAGGAAGACAAAGGGAAATGGTTGGAAATCGCATGAGAAGCACATATCGCGGAATGCAATGTACAATACCACTCACAGAACGGGAATTTCGCGAAATTCCAGAAATTTCGCGATTCCGGAATATCGCAAAATATGCAGCGCCATAACTTCCTTCGGAATAAATATATTCTGAATCCGATAGTAGCATTATGTTCAGCTCGTCAAGGCGAATCTTTCGACATATATCATGTCATCTATATCTTGTTTCCAGTTTTCTCAAATTGTTCTGAGGCGGTCCCTTTGCAAGTATGTAACGCAGCGCCTATTCAACATGAAAGCTTCCAGTAAGCACCATTCGATAGTGCTCTTCTTGTACATTATAGTGCGCTAGGAAGCTGCCGCAGACTTCTTTTCAAAAGAGAAAAAAGCTTTGGTAAATTCTGGAAAAATCACTCGTTTCCAGATTCTACTCGCCGTGACTTTCTTTGGAGTGGATATTTTCTGAATCCGAAAATTGCATTGTGCTCAGCTCATCAAGGCAAATCTTTCGGTATGCAGAATGTCCTTGATATCTCAATTCCAGTATTCTCAAAACTTTCTGCGGGCGTCTCTTCGCAAAGGTGTGAAGCAGCGCGTATTGCCCCCAGTACATTCAGAAAGAAATTTTCGATAGTACTTCTTCTGTAAATTATGGAGCGCTAGAAAGTAGCCGCACCCTTCTTTCCAAAGGAGTTAGAAGGGCCGGTGAATTTTGGAAAAATCATGTCGTTCCAAATTTTTCTCAACGTAACTCTAAAATATGAAGCTCTCTCGCTAAGCAGATGTGATTTTCGTAATCAGCAGATCGGATAACCCTTATGAGCAAGTTTTCCAAGATGTTCGAGTAATTTCATTTTTTCTCGTTTTACGCTCTGAAGCTGGCCGATGGATTTTGGTCAAAATGTTCATGCTCTTAAATTGTAAGGAAACTTCGCCTGTAGAGGTTTTCGAACACGCTATTTACGAAAATCAAGGTCTTTGAGGATTACAGGGTCTTTTTGGTGAAATACGGTGAGGTGACTGTAACTGAATCACGAAAGTGCGTAACTTTGCCCTCATTTCTCGCGTATCTGTCAGCAACATTGCCTGCTTGCTTTTCTCAGTCAAGGTTACTAGGAACTATGCTAGCGAATGGTGCATGACTCAGGCTCCAGTCTATAAAAATCGCCAAGTTACGAGCCTACGAAAATACATCCTCATGAATTTTGCTCAAAATGTAAAGATCGCATATTTCGTCGAAATTCCACCGTGAGTGCTTGTATGACACTCGCATTGCGGATATTGCGTTCGCTTCGCCTAAAGGCTCCCACTATATTAAATATGGTACTTGCGTATGCCTCAGCTGCTCAGTTGACTATCAAAGCTATTTCGGTGGCTACTCAAACTAGAAATCTAACACAATAAGATCTATTAAGGACGTGAAAAGATTTTGATCAGCGTGTTGTACAAGCGCTCACGATGGAATTTCGACGAAATATGCGATCCTTACATTTTGAGCAAAATTCATGAGGATGAGTTTTCATAGGCTCGTAACTCGGCGAATTTTATAGACTGGAGCCTGTGTCTTGCGCCATTCGATAGCACATCTCCTAGTAACTTTGACCAGTAAAGCAAGCAAACAGGTTCTTCGACAGACACGTGAGAGGTGCAGGCGAATTTACGAGCTTTCGTGATGTAGTTACAGTCACCTCACCGTATCTCTCCAAAAAGACCCTGTAATCCTCAAAGACCACGATTTTCGTAAAGAGCGTGTTCGAAAACCTCTATAAGCGAAGTTTCCTTACAATTTAAGAACATGAACATTTTGACCAAAATCCATCGGCCAGCTTCAAAGCGTAAAACGAGAAAAAATGAAATTACTCGAACATCTTGGAAAACTTGCTCATAAGGGTTATCCGACCTGCTGATTACGAAAATCGCATCTGCTTAGCAAGGAAGCTTCATATTTTAGAGTTGCGTTGAAAAAAATTTGGAACGACATGATTTTTTTCAGAATTCACCAGTCCTTCTAACTCCTTTGGAAAGAAGTGTGCGGCTAATTTCAAGCGCCCCATAATCTACAAAAGAAGTACTATCGAAAATGTCTTTCTGAATCTACTGGGGGCGATACGCGCTGCTTCACACCTTTGCGAATAGACGCCCGCAGAAAGTTTTGAGAATACTGGAATCGAGAAATCAAGGGCATTCTGCATACCGAAAGATTTGCCTTGATGAGCTGAGCACAATGCATTTCTCGGATTCAGAAAATATCCACTCCAAAGAAAGTTACGGCGAGTAGAATCTGGAAACGAGTGATTTTTCCAGAATTTACCAACGCTTTTTTCTCTTTTGAAAAGAAGTCTGCGGCAGCTTCCTAGCGCACTATAATGTACAGGAAGAGCACTATCGAATGGTGCTTACTGGAAGCTTTCATGTTGAATATGCCCTGCGTTACATACTTGCAAATGGACCTCCTCAGAACAATTTGAGAAAACTGGAAACAAGATATAGATGACATGACGTATGTCGAAAGATTCGCCTTGACGAGCTGAACATAATGCTACTATCGGATTCAGAATATATTTATTCCGAAGGAAGTTATGGCGCTGCATATTTTGCGATATTCCGGAATCGCGAAATTATTTCGCGAAATTCCCGTTCTGTGAATGGTATTGTACATTGCACAGCACGCGCGGCATTCCGCAATATGTGCTTCTCATGCGATTTCCAACCATTTCCCTTTGTCTTCCTGCATTTTGGGACCCGTCATACTTCGCCGAGAAAAGCCCAATTTCACACATATCCATGCAGAATGAGCTCTTAAACTATACCTGCCCTATTTCTGCAGTGCACAACAGAATGTGTATGTACATAGCCTCTGGAATCAGCACGCTGAATGATCCATTTGCACTAAAATTCCAGGAAAAAAACTTACATCCCACAACTAGGCACATCTGTATACTGGAAGATGCGCCTCGCCGAGCTGAGTTGAATGGTACTCTTATATATAGAATTCATAAATTCTGGATCAAGATAAGGTCTTTTTTATAAAAAAGTTAGGCGTTGCGCGGCGTTGCGCGACAAAAGTCGGCGGCAAATGCCGCTTTTTCGCCGACTTTTGTCGCGCGGCGCGGCGTTTGTCACCTAACTGCGGCGGCGCCGCGTGAGTTAAGTGGCGCTGCCATTTTTTTTCACAAATTACGGGTGGTATTGTATTTCAAAGCGAGAAAATTGCCTTAGAAGGTACAAACAGTCCAGGAATCTCCGTCCACCAACGTGGGTGGTCTGAACTCAAGAAGTCCAAGACTGGGCTTTGATGTATCTAAAGCTGCCATGGATCCTCCCTTCATTATGATCATCAAATCTTTCTGTTTACCTGAAGCCCAATTTTGGACGTGCATCATCAGACCATCCACGGTGATGGGTAGTCAGCGTGGCCGCTTCTTCTGAAGCGCTTTTCTCGCTTCGGATTTTGTTTTGTTTTTGCAGTGGGTCTTGGGTAATTACTTAGTTAGGAGCACTACTATTATACGGTAACGAAGTCTCACTATCCTCTGAGTGGACGGTGACTTCAAGCAATTGTCGGGTAGAAATTGTATACGAATCTTTAAATCTTTCTTGCTCTTTCAAAGCGTTATGTTCGGGAAACACGTTTATTTTCGATAGTGTCTTTTCAAAGCTTCATAGAGGATAGAAAGTTACCAAATAAAGAAATTTATCTACGTGATATGTCAGGGACAAAACTTTATCATTAGTCAGATCAATAGATGCACGATCAACAATGGTGTAATGTCAGAGCTTCACATTCCTTTTGATTCATCAGAATGCTCAATACTTTGCTGAAGGCTTAGCTTTTTTGTTTTAGTAGCCCTTTCGGAGATCTCAGGCCTGTTCCACAGGTACGGAAATAGCACCAAAGTCCAGCTAGTCTTATGGTAAGGAACTCTGCATTTAAGCTTTGCATAAGCTTAAAACTACTCCATCCTAGGGCCCTCATTCACCATTACGTACGGATCCTCGCCCAGAAAATGTTGATGCTCATCGTAAAGCTGTAGCGTTGGGGCTGTGTAGCCGGTAAGAAAACCCACTATCTAATAGTAAAATTCTAGTGCTGGTTCATTTCAGGTTTCTTCCAACTGTTAGAAAACACTGTTATGAACGTAATACAGCTAAAGAGTATGTGAAGCGATGCGCAGCATACTTCCACGTAAGTCTTATTGATGGAATTTGTTCAATAAATTCTAAAAAAGTGGAATTTCAGGATTGCCAGTCCTTCCTGCCACGATCAGATCCTCTCTATAACATTGATTATGCTTTCAATTCAAAGTGGGTTTAAATCTTGGTACGGTCGAAGTTGATGGTATACCATACTACCCGATAAATGAGGAAGGTAAATTGTATCTACGAACATCTACTTTCTCAAAAAATTGCCTATTAAGAATCTATCGGAGTAGGGAAAGTTGCGAATGTTTCTGGCTCATGAGGTGGAGGATACTCGGAAAATGTTGATGTAAGGTTCGTTTTTCGCTTTTTTGTTCCAACTGAGAAATTCTTTACGTGATGGCTATGTTGAGAAAATCTTGGATGGCTTGTGGATCAGTGTTCATGCAATAAATTATATGCATCCGCGGAGTTATCAAGCATGCCACTAAATGATGTAACGATACCAAACAGTGGCGGTCCGTAAATTATTTTGAGGTAGGGGGTGGGGTATGAGGGATGCCAATTTTTCTTCAATGAAGGATATCGTTACGCCCTTCAAAACCAGCCCATGATACTTTACAAATGGACTCAGAAACAGAGAGGGGAATGTCGACATTTAGTCATTGGGAACTTTCTACAGAATTAGCTTGAATTTTGTAATTTTTCAAACACCACTTCAATTACATTGAAAGCAAATCGCACAAGTTCATAATTCAACTGCTTCCAAAAAAATTGCCTATTCCCATGAAAAAGGTCCCTCTTCCCTTTTGTTCCGTCAATGCGACCTATAGAATTAACGTTTCAATTTTCAAAGATTACTGGTTACAGACTATGGAAGTCGGTGCAAATTGGTATGAAGGAAAGTACAGTTACAAATCCGGATGAAGTGTACCTCTCGTACAATCCTTAGGTGTTGAAGGAGACACGCATGCAGTGGTTGGCTCATCGCCAGACCCCAATCTTTCTCTGTCGCTCAAATTTGTCTTTCCAGGTGTCGGTGCCAGTCAAGCAGGGTGAGCTCGGCAAACCAATTGGTGTGGATGTCAGCGGAGGTGTTGGTCCTTATTACCAGCAAAATCAGCATGTAGGCGTCGACTATATAAATGGGAAGGTGAGATCATTTGAAATTTAGTGAGATCATTTATCCGAAACCATTTTAAAAACTATACTAAAATTGTAAGCATTAATAAAAACTGTTTTGATACCTATTGGTCTATAAATGATATTAATATTCCCCACAAATTTAACCACATTAATTCGAATAACCTTAAACTGTTTTCAGCCGATTTCACTAACATGTTTACAAACATTCCTCATAATACCATTATCAGCAATCTCAAAGAGATTCTTAAAATATGTTTCAAAAATAGTAACAGTAAATATGTCGTTTGTAATAATAACAAAGTTAGCTATTGCAACCTCTATAATGAAAAAACAAAACAAAGGGTTTATAAAATTGAAGACATTTTGTACCTTGTTCAATATCTATTAGAAAACAGCTATTGCAAAATTGCAAATCACATATTTATACAAAAAGTAGGAGTTCCACAAAGGGGTAATGCCAGCCCTATTCTTGCAGATTTGACGTTGTCTTACTTTGAATACAAATTTGCCATTAATCACCATAAAAATGATATCTTGTTCAAACCTTTCAGATATATGGATGATTTACTGATTATACATAATTTAGAAGAGAAAAGAATAAGTAAATGGTTGACTGACACTTATAATAATATATAAGAGTTGAAAAATACGAACCAAAGCGAATTAGAATGTGACTTTCTTGATTTAAATATAAAAATAATATTAAAATTATTACGCAACAATACAATAAAACAGGTTACTTTACGTTTAAAGTTAATAGATTTACACATGTGTCTTCACACATAAGTGTTAAGGTTAAAACATCCATTATATATAGTGAAATTCTAAGGATTTATAGAACATGTACAAAATTTGATAATTTTCTACATAGACTATTAATGCTTTTAAAACAACTAGAGGAATTAGACTACACACAAAATATAATCATCAATGCTTTTATAAAATGCTTCACATTCAATAAATGTATTTCATACAAATATATAGAGCTTCAGTCTTTCAAAAATATGAAACATTTCGTTAAATTCGTAATAGATAGACTAGATCATTGCTAATCTTGTGATCTTTTGCCCTACCAAACTGGTATAAATTTCCAGCAGTATACCACCATTGTTAGTTACCCATTTTTCCCTACTGAAGAGCCTCGGGAGTGGTTATCATTTATTGTACTCCTGTATAGGGGTAGAGGCGAAACAGGCTTAATAGTAACCCTTTATTATTTATTTATTACCCCATTTTATCACATTTATAAAATGGGGTAATAAATAAATTGATAAATCGTTCCAGGTTGGCACAAACTTGGGTATCGGTGAACCGTTTGCTGGAGTTGGAGTAAACACTGGGCTTGGAATTCCCTTAATTAATTTCCTCTTCCTGCAGTAGGAACTTTACCTCAAATCTTATGCGGACAGGCTCTCGACTTCTGCCTTCGTTACACAGAACGTTGCTCGAAGGAAATGATCCCCGATGAACCGGTTCCGTTTGAAATAGCTGTAAGTAACAAGAATCTATAAGAAAAAAATTCTGGCTCATCTGATCCTTCCGGGATGAATCTCACATCTACATTCGAGAAACTGAACACGTTGAGAACAGCATACAGAGCCGCTCGAACATTCTGCCCGCATCCGGAGCTACTTAATTATCCAAAATATGCTATACCTTGTGTAATGTACAAAGCTGATTGTATAGATGTGTATAAGAAGGTTATTTACGACTGATGGGCATATTGTCAATAAAGCTTATCAAAAAACACCTGAAAATTTGAACTTCTTCTGAAATTTTTGAAAGGAGTGTAATAGTGAGGTAATAGATGAGAATTTGTTATAAATAATTTTCCAGTTGCGACTAGGACTTCAAGATGGACGACACAGAGGAAAAGGTGGGGCACTTACGTAGACCTTTGAAGTCTAAAATTAGAAGGATGGGTTGTGGAAGAAAAAGAGTATTTTCTAGGTCTAGTAGCTCTCATTTACGGTCTAGTAGCTCTCATTTACGAAACAACTTTTTTCATATAGCATTAAAATAAACGCAAAGTTAATCATCACCTCGTTTATTTTTCAATCTTCGTTTGATCATGTGATTCGTGATTCTGCATAGTATGCGATCGAAATAATGTGTGTAGAAGGTCATCACGCATTACACAGTTCGTTTTCTGTGAGAGCGCCTTTTGACGTCTTCACTTCCTTTCAAATGTAGATTACCTTTGTTTCTGACAGTACCATTTTTTTGATATTTTTTCTCCAGTGCACTAGATTTTTTCCCATTATTTCTTGATACTTGTGAATTTGCGAATAATTGTATACATCGATTCATCGTTCAAGTGTATTCATCATTTTTCTTTGTGTCTTCATTCAGTGTTCAATACAACATTTGCATTTACTCTGTGATCCTAAATTTCTATGAGCTGCGAAAGAATTTACTTGTTTCAAAAAAATCGTACATCTTGAGAAATCAAGCACGGGTTTTCATGAGTTTTTTTTCTTGCTCGCAATACTAGTTGATTTTCACCGTCCAACTATGAAGCATAACTCCACTTGATGTCAAGCAAGATATTCATTAAGCTTTTGCAGCCATTTTACCGTATACGACCGATTGAACAATGATTATTTCCCCCTTACTTGCATCGTTGTTCTACCTGAGCTACCTGAGCTCTTCAGCTGCACAATACTTCCCGGAAAACAGGTCTCCATTGCTTATCTACAAAAATAGAATCAGGAGTAGATTTTCATAACTAATCATTCAATAAATCGTGCACTGAGACACTTGTAGACCGAAAGTTGTAACCTTTTTCTGCCCACCAAGCTTTTTTGATTTGATTCTTTTATAGAAAAGAACGCAAAAGGTTTCTAGGTACTTCATGTGTAATATTTACTATTACTAGCAATTGGCAATACAAGCAAACGCTTTTGTGTAGTTCTGGAACTGTGTCGCAGAAATCCCGGAAGGAAACTCAATTTGGATCGCTTCGAATTTGGTTCTATGAACTATCTTTCAATCAAGTTAAATGTGCTGATCGAATTTCTTCATGAATGATTAATGATTTTTAGATTTTAGATTTTTTTTGAAGATAAATGTATGATTTTCAAATTACATTTTATTTGATTTTGGGCATCGGATACATTCTTTAGTTTCATTGTATCTCACAGGCGATATGCCAGGACATCAGGCCCTAATAATTATACCACCAAAAAAAAAACGTAGACACAGTAAAAATGAAGTCAAAATCTATGATATTTATACTAGTGTGCAAGAAAAAGGGAAAAGTATCTACGGCCACAGGATACTTGAACATCTTTTGAACATCATGAAGGCAAATTTAAACATTAGTGCAAAATGTATTACGAAATAAGAAACTCCCATCTAAAAGGCACCATTCTGATTGCTTCAAGGATGCATCCAAGAAGATCTCATGGCCACCGTCGACGATCAAATGCTGAACGCGAGCATCTTCGAAGACTAGAAGAGTACGAAGAGCAGCGTCAGGCTTACAAAGACGCTGTACAAGCACAGCAGGATGAATACTACAACAACTACTTTGATCGCATGAAGGAGTACGCAGCTCAAGTCTACAGAACAAGGTACTTTGTTTCGGTTTCGACTGTTTGACTGCTTTTATGTGGGAAAGTATAGACTGCAATTGTATATCTAGATATGAGCAACTGCAGAAGAAGCAGGCTGAAGAAAGGGAACGCTATCTGAAAACGATGAAGGAATTCGGAGTGCCTGAAGCCGAACTTCCGACACCGCATACCGGTGAAGAACACCAAGAAAAGCCAACGTCTGTGAACTTAACATAAGAGATCCTGTTTTGATGTTAAGCGCTTGTCGGGTAGAACTTGTTGCGAATCTCTAAATCCTTGCACTTTCATAACGTTAAGTTCGGGTTCACGTTCATTCTACTTCAGTAGTTTTTTTTGCAACTTCGTGAGAGTAAAGAATTATTTTGTGAGGGACATTTGTTATAGATTAGGATACATTTATCGATGCGCGATCAAATCAACAGCGGAGTAATGTTAGCGCTTCACATCTTGCTACTTCAAGAAAGCCCCAGTACTTTGCCGAAAACTTATCATTTTTGTTTTAGTAGTCCTTTTGGAGATCTCAGACCAGTCCCTCGAATCCGCAAATCGCAGCATCCGGCCAATTTCATCGTAAGCATTTCCGAATCTAAACCATAAGTAACCTCAGGAAATCAAACTTTCAACCTAGGAGTCTCAGTCACCATCGCGTACCGATCCTCGTCCAGAAAATATCGATATTCATCGTAAAGCTGTGGCACTGGAGAGATTGTGTACCCGGTAAGAGTGCGTCACTATGAGCGAGATGAAAAAAGCACAGAGCCAATCATTTCAGGTTTCTTCCAACTGTCAGGAAACACTGTTTTGAACGTAATACAGCAAAGGAGTATGTAAAGCGATGCGCAGCATATTTTCACGTAAGCCTTATCGATAGACTCTCTTCGATAGATAAAAAACAGTGACTTTCAGGATTGTCAAACATTCTTGCCAAAATCAGATCCTCTCTACAATATTGCCTATGCTTTCAACTCAAATGTAGGCTTGAATCTTGGCACGGTCGAAGTCAATGGTATACCATACTATCCTATAAATGAGGAAGGTACGTCTTCTGCAATTGTCATGCTATAATCATTTAATTACTCCAAGAATGTTGCTTTCAAAGGATCTATTGGAGTAGGAAGAGTTGCGAATGTTCCATTCGGGTCATGGGGTGGAGGATACTCAGAGAATCTTGGAGTAAGGTAAGTACCTTTCCAAGTTCATCGTTTTTGTATCATTTGAAGAATCGTTTTTTCTTGCTGACTATTTTATGAGAGGGGTCTCGGAGAGCTCAGGGGTAAAATATTCCAATAAATTACAGAAAGAATGCATCCGCAGAGTAATTAAGCACGAGCATTGATTAGTATCGATAACAACCAGTCGCGAGTTCAGAAATGTTTCGTCGGAAGGGGGATGGGGTCGAGAGGTGACGACATTTCTTCGAATGAAGAAGCCGACGCAATCCAAAAATAATTTTGTTGCTTTCTAGATCTTGTACATAAGAGAGAGATTTTGTGAAGAAGAGGCTTGACGAGCTTTCGAAAAAAAATTTTAACAGACCTTATTCAAATTGCAAATCCACAAACTACAATCGATTACAAGTAAAAACAAGCCACTAGCAGAATTTTATAACTCATGTAGGTTACTCTAAAGGAAGACGCAAGAGTTCGCGATAGTCCCCTCTCTTGGTCAGCCATTGATGTCAACAACTTTTCGAAAAACAACGGTTTCAATTTTTAGAGATTATTGGTCCCAAACGATGGAAGTCGGTGCAAATTGGTATGAAGGCAAATATGGCTACAAATCTGGATGGAGTGTGCCTCTCGTACAGTCGTTAGGAGTAGAAGGAGATACGCATGCGGTGGTTCGTTTATCGCCAAGCTCCCATTTTTTTTCTGTAGGTCAAAATTTTCTACTCAGGTGTCGGTGCCCGTCAAGCAGGGTGAACTCGGCAAACCAATTGGTGTAGATGTCGGCGGAGGTGTTGGTCCTTATTACCAGCAAAATCAGCATGTAGGCGTCGATTATATGAACGGACAGGTGAGATCAGTTGAAATTTATCTTATCACATTGTAATTGCTAAATTGTTCCAGGTTGGCACAAACTTTGGTGTCGGTGTACCGTTTGCTGGAGTTGGAGTAAACACTGGACTTGGGGTTTCCTTCCCATCCATAAACGATATTAGGGGATAGAAACGCGGTCATCTAATGTATGGAAAGATTACATCATCATTCAGTATGTCAGATTTTGTTTCTGTATTAACCAACGTGCAAGGTGAAACAAGCAGGGATCAGTTTTGAAACGCTTATACTATGAACTATGACTCCTAAATTGTTGGCGATTTTTCATAGACATCCGTTTGGAAATTTATATTTATTATTAGTCTTCTTCTCATATATTACATACTACTTGTTATTCTCGTCCATTCTCAGGTTCTCACTGACAAGCTAACAATGAAATATTTGGACTGTGTATAAATTTGTGATCGAAAGTGAATTCTAAAAAAACGACGATAAAATGTTCTCTCCGCATGGTTTTTAATTCTTTGAGATATATCATCATCTTGTCAAATGTTGTCCTATCAACACTCGGTTTTCCAAATCATAAATTGAATGAATAAAAACATTGGTTCTTTGCGCCTGAATTTAAATGCTCTGAGTTGATGCAAAAGCAATGAGCGTCCGTTATCCGGCAGCTTCAAAGAATATATAAAAATGTAGCATACTAGACAAGCAGAACAAGCTGTACAAGATGGCAGTCAAATCTAAAGATGTCAAATCACCAAGAATCAAAATCGTTTAAGAAAATCCTTCGAACCTGCAACTTAATCACTCATGCGCTATCTGCATAAGATGTTTATATGTGGTGTATTTGGTATATTTCTTTAGCTAAAAGACAGAATTAGGCCAAAATATAAAAACGTCGACTTTTTTGGCTTTTCGAACGATATGTTTTGCACATTTCTAAGCAGGTTTTCGCTGATTCAATTAATTGAAACTATTTCGTCATACGTAGTGAGCGCTCGCACCAAAATATTTTCATATTGAATAGGAAATAAACCGGTAGAATCTTTGATATTTACATTAGGGCTATTCCTCCTATAATATTACTCGTAAACATCAAAATCTTCAATATCTGTGACTAGTGGGACGCTCTCGCTTCTATCAATCTCAGCACTTGAAATGATCTCATCCAAATCTTGCAGCATTGCACGGACTTCTCGTGGTGGAGCCTGAAACCGTAGTTTATAAGATTAAAAATTCACTTGAGAAAAACTCACATCGAATTCATTAGCGACGATTTGTAGCAGTTCGGATACGGTAATGCTCTGGCCGCCCATATAGACTGGAACGTCCCGAGCTCCAGTAAAACGACGGCCTAAGTAGTGGATCTGGAAAGATTTGTGAGATAAAATGAAATGTGAAGTGGGGCGGGGGAGGGAGGTTTAATGTAAGCAGGTACAAAACGCACCTTTCTTAAATATTGGTTGAGGATACTGAACAACGCTGTAGTGAGCATTATTCCCCATGATAGGTACAGTAACGTGAAAAAGAGTTTTTCCAAGTTATCAGTGATGGGCACCTTATCACCAAAACCAACTGTAGTAAAACTTATGAAACTAAAATAGGACATGAAAAAGCTGTAGCCTCCGCAGACGCGTAATTAACTTACCTAAAATACACATCATCCACGCTATGTCTCACGCCTGTGTGGTGGATAAAATTTGACCCAAAATAAAAAGTGCAGGCAAAGAGAAATAGAATAATTGGTAGTGGCATATTGGCATCGCTGCTCAGCATAGATCGAGCAACCGGCTAGAAAGTTTTATTTTCTAGGTGTGAACATAGATAAACCAAACTCACCAATTTACAAAGAAACATCAAGTACCAAAATGCTTTTGTCATAAATTTTCCTAAATTTGCAGTCGTGAGGAGGATGAGAGGAATGCCAAAAATCGAGTATATAATGCAGAACATTCTGGAGACATCTGTAGTCGGGCAAATGTTGCCATAACCTAAAGAAGACCTCGGTGTCAGCAGAAAATCTATATTTTACGAAGAAGAGTATTGTGGAAGGAAGACGTTGCTCAAATCAATTTTTTCAAAGCAAAAAAAAGCTATAAGATTAGACGAAAGAAAATCGTTATGCTGTGCTTCAGAAACATACATAGAAAGATAGATGAGCTCTACTCAGCTACGTATCTATTCTGTTTGTAATGGGTGGTGTTCTTTGTAAGGGTCTGGAATAAATATTTGCCCTTTCTAAAGAAAATAAATGAGTCACTAATTCAAACCGGTAGGCGAGTGTTAAAAGACAAGTGAGAAAAATCTATTAGCCTGTTAGAATGATAGTGATAGGACCACAGAAAAAAACAATCATATTTTATTAGAGACTGCTTGAAAGGTAGAAATTACTAACCGATTGTGGCCAATGTCGAAAATTCGAACAGAATTATGTCGAAAAATGGGATTTTTGCCAATTCCGGATCAATTAGTTGAAAGATTATTCCACCTCCAATCAGGTAAGTCGCTAATAAGCTGACTAGTAGGATTTGTGGAAGTAGAGCGCGAAGGATCTGAAATACAAGGATACTTAAACTATACAACTGACATTTAAATAATTTTCTGAAATTTGTGGATGACATGGATTAATCAGTTTGTTGAAAATTGCAGAGAAAATCCAGCTTGTATAGGTATAGAATACTGGTAAAGTGCCGAAAACAAGAGCTTTGGCAAGTGAAATTTTCGTTTCGCGTAACACCTGAGAAAATGTTGCCCGGCTCACATAAAAGCTTCAAAGAATTTCATATCTAGAGGAGCATCAAACAACAACTGCGATGACTGTATGTTTCCTTACACCAAGATTGTGATTTTCAAATATCTGATTAAAAATTCATGCCTTATGTTCGTGACTCTACTATACTATACTCCAACTTCATTGAAAAACTTGATAAAAACACGGAATACTAGAGATTCTTCTTGAACGGATTTCCTGTTCGAAAGCTATAATCTCAGCAGTTGCCTGTTTTTATGCGCTAAAAGCTAAACCATCTCGATTTTACAAAACGCAACATTCTCTTTCTCGCGCACGTACGCTATGAAGAGACACTGTCATTGCAAATAATCATTCGTCAAAATCTTTTCTAAAGTCATTTGGAGTGAACGGGTCACTGGTCACAAATCTGATTCAGAAAATTTTCTCTAAATTGCAATAGAGGAGCTTTTGAAAACTACTGCAGTCAAGAGAGAAGGAACTCAATGTTCACCTAACAAGGGAAGAATACTTGATTAAAAATGCACCTTTTCATGCTGGTTCGTATACAGTCTTCATATCTGCGAGACGATGACATGGTTGGAGTCATAGTCATTTTTTCATGAATAAACAGCGCTACTGCGGAAGGTCAAAATCATCAATAAAAAATTCTCTTTTCTTTTCGAATGCTGGATATAATATAGATAGGTAAAAATACAACAGTACTCCTTCAAAGATTCTCTTCAATAGCATCAAACGGCAACCTAGAGCAAATTTGGTGATTTTAACCCCCCCCCCCGCTCAGATATAGAGCACAGATTTAGAATCAGCGTTTCGAGGAGCATCTTACAGTATACATCACATTCTAAATGGCCACCGAGCTCCTTTCCTGGCAAGTGCGGCAACCATCTCAAAAATAGTGCTTGCGAAGAGCTGGTGTTTCGGAACCTCCGTGAAAACAACGTAAGGAATGGCTTGATAGTGCTACCCAAAATTCAAAAATTTTAAAGATCCGGATCCATCGAGCACTCACCGCGACAGCAAATGAGGACTTTTTGGACGACATGTGCGAAAGCCCGACAAGCCGCTGGTTGATCCCCTTCGGCGGCGCGATGCAGCGGCTACGACGGCTGCGGCTGCGGAAACAGACGGTGACGGCGGCGCTGGAGCGGCGCCAATCCTACGGCCGAAGAAGAACCATGTGAAATGCGCACGAACTGCGCAGTCGTTCTCGTCCGATTGATCGATTTGGAAATGGCATTAGAAAACGAGTTGTGTGCGTTTGATTGACCGTATTTCACGCTTCGATTATCCTCAATCGGGTATTCTTGCTGGACTTAGAGTTCAAAAAACTTTGACTCCAACTTTGATTGTGCCTAGCACTTCTGAACTTTGCTAACAAGGAAAGCATACTCGATGACCGTGGCCATTTGAAATGTGATGTATACCGTAAGATGCAATTCGAAACGCTGATTCTAAATCTGTGCTCGATATCTGCGAAACGATCTTCTAAAGGAAGTTATGAACTTTTTTCGCAGAGAATTTCCGTACTTTTGGGTACTTAAAATCGCCAAGTCTCTAGGCTGTTCTAGGCTACCTTTTGAAGCTATTGAAAAGAATCTTGAAAAGAATACTATTTTATTATACTATCTAAACCATATTCAGCATTTGAAAAGGAGAGAAAATTTTTAATTGATGATTTTGACGCTTCGTAGTAGCGCATTATTCATGAATAGATATTCATAACTCCATCCAGGTTATCGTCTCACAGATAAGGAAGACAGTATTCGAACTAGCATTAAAAGGCGCATTTTTTGATGTACAAATAATCACGAATGGTCACCAAGTATCCATCTCTTGTAAAACCAAAATACCATAGTATTCTTAGCTTCCCATAGAATCAACCCCATATTGTGTAAACGCTGCTAATAAAAGTTGCACACACATCAGTTTAAGAAGAGATGCGAGCCTCGAAGTTCATAGAGTCAAGCTTCACAACCATAAAGTTTGGGAGAAGCCTTGACGTACTTATGAATTTTATCAACACTGTATGACAGAGGGTGAAACCTTGGACTTAAGCGTTTAACATGCAAAATCTCTTCTTCAAACCTAAAAGCCGGCATACACTTTGATTCAACTGGCTTGGCGGCTCGAAAGCGGGGTGTGACCTATTAAGGCTGGATAATGATCAGAGAGCAGGTGCCGATAGAGACGCAGACTGCGTCGCGGGGGCGAGCGGCCCTAATTAGGTCACAAAGCCCTGCCTTCCAGCCGCCAAGCCAGTGGAATTAAAGGTACTCAGTGTTTTTTCCACATGGTTGAACCCGTAATATAAATTTCAGCAGTGCTGAGATTAAGGAAATGGGTCAGCTAAAAGATCACTATCCTGATCACTTGGCCACTTGATGTTTGACTCTGGGTATTTCCAATGATTCAGAAAAATAGGTTCATGTATTTTGTTTGCTGTAGCGCTTCGATCGGAGCAATCTCAGTTCGTTCAAGTAGATTGGTACATAAGCAGCTAAAGTTTACTTTACTTGCCTTTGATTATGAGAAGATGATTTTTTGCTTGATATGTAGTTCTTTCGAAAAGAAATTATTAACAATGGAGAGAGAAGTTGATTGTTGAAAAAGTACGCATTTTTATTGATATGACTCTTATATATAATGTAAAGCTGAATATCTGTCTGTCTCTCTCTATGTCTGTCTGTCTGTCTGACTTACGTATGTTCCGAATAGAAAATTCTATTTCTGCACCGATCCGGACCAAACTTGGCACACATACACTTCGGGGCGGGGCGGGTGTCAGGCTACTTTTCGTCATCGATCGATATCGATTTTATCGATTTTTATCGATTTTTTTTGTAAAGTTTGATCTACGGGGCTGGGAGTTGGTATAGGGGGTAATCGAGCATGCTGACTACGAATACAATTTTAGTTTTTAAAATCGTCCACTTCTTTTATCGATTTTATCGATTTTCTTGCAAAGTTTGAGCTACGGAGCTGGGAGTTGGCAGTGGGTAATCGAGCATACTGATTACTAACACATTGGGAATAGGGAATTGGCATGTAGAAGTGTGCACAACGGAAGGTTGTCAGGGATAAGGATGGAACTTTTATCATAATGTTTTGACAGGGCGGCGGAGCCGGATAAGCCTGCTAATAGTACGTATTCTGATATTTAAGTTAGCATCCGTAGTAGGATTATTTTTTATTTAACAAGAAACATTGAGATAATTGTTGCACCAGATCCTCTTTAATCAAAAAATGTTCTTTACAACAGTTTCCGGCAGGGCTACTCACGAGGCGGTCGAAAATGCAAAAAACGAAGTACCCCTTGACTTTAGCAAAATTTTACGAAATCCACTTTGACCTTGAAAATATGCGAATAAATAAGAAACGAAATGTCGACTAAAAACCCTTTGAACCCACAAAACGATATTCCCTCTGCTTTTTGTCCCAGAACGATATCCAGTTTGCTTGTAAGCCACCTGTGTCGAGCCATGGTATCCGACTTCCTACGATGCGATTGTTTGTCCTTCACTATATAGTAGGGTTTGTATGCGCTTACGCTGGTTTTTTTGCAAATTTGTTTGTTACATCATAACAAAAAAATTCCGACGCGAGAAAGTATCTACTTTCATGCTCACAACAATGTAAACAAGTAGGCTTCCGGTGCAAATGAAAAACAATCGTTGTCACTTGAAATTTCTTTTATATTTTTATTTCCTTGATTTTTCTATATTTTTCATATATTTTCTGTGCTCACGGTGTACTTAACGTTCTTTTCCTCACTTCAGTTTATCATTCAGGTAATTATATCGCTTTGAATTTCCTCAAGTAGTTATGTCACTCTGAATTTCAAAACGAACTAAGTTTTACGCACTCTTTAAAAATCCGTAATTTGAGTCATAGGTTTAGTTTGAGTGTTAAACCATGAAAAAAAACGCGTTTGTTCTGCATTGCCTCTGCCCCTTAGGCATTTTGTCAAGAATATCTATTTTTGAGTCATAGCAAATCCTTCGTGAGTTTTCTAGTCTCTGTTTTGATTTCCAAGACATTTGACAAAACTTTGTCAACACTGCAACCACCTGCAATATAATCATTGATTGAATTTTCGCACTGCATGCATAATCTGTTTATATCTGTTTATGTATGTTTCTTGATTGCTACAATATTCCCTGTAGAATTAAGCAATGATAGAATAGCCAGCGAAACGACTCCATAGATCACTGCGTTTACTTCCCATAAGACGAGGCCAAGCACTATGAAGAAAGCCAATCTGCAGCTGTCGAAAATAACGGAGAACGGTCTGAAAACAATAATTTTACAGGCAATTTTGAGGTTACTTGACCCGTACCTTTGGTCAAAATAATAACCAAATATTTGCAAAAACAACACTAGAATTATTAGATGGGTGATAAACAATGGCCATGAAATAAATTGTCGATAAGCGTCAAATTGTAGTGAGTATCCGATCAAAAACAACCATTGAACTAGTAAATAGTAACGAAGTGGAGCACTCAGTGGTGGATTATAAGGAATGACAGGATTTTCGACCTGGAAATTAGCATGTGTGTGTTAGTAAGAATTTTTATTCAAATGGCTACCTACTTTTGGTATTCCTTCGGTATTGTCAGCCATACAGAGCCACGAAAAAAAGTATTTCGTTTTGACACCCGGAAAATAGCCCGGAGGCCAGAGGGCGGCTTTTATCTGAAAACGTGCATCTTGCCCTCTATATTATTTTGAAGCAGAGTGTGAATTTTTTTTTCAGAATGTTTGAAACAGTTTGTATTTTGAACCAACTTCTCTTTGTTGAAAAAACATGCCATGAAACTTAGAACAAAAATTAATTCACATTCTAGTAGACGTTTTAGCCATTTTAGTGACTAAAAAGCGAGAAACCACTTTTTGGTTTTCTCTTATTCACCTTGAAACGCTGCCATATGCCCTCAAGAAATTTTGGCTCGAGCGCCTTTGGAAAGCGCAAAATTTGCTCTCTCTACCATAGTCAAACCAGAAGATTTCATCGAAGATGGATGAAGTAACAGAATTTCAAAAATTTTGGTGCAAGAATTATGCATCAACCTCGTATTTCCGAGCGTAAAGTAAGATTAAGATTTTTTATATCGATTTTATCTGTGATTCGTTCATCTGTAAGATTGTTTGTAGGAAAATTTCATTTACTTATTATATGAAAGGAAGAAGGTGAAAAGTTTGCTCTGCTACAAATAATCCGCAAATATTCAAAATAATTGGCTATTATTTAGCATGCACATAGGCATCAATAAATTAGAAAAATGGAATTACAGAAAGACCTTGTTCCAGAATCCCGGAAAGATTTCTCTTCCGCTTTCGTCTTTCATTTGTCCCTTGTCATATCCGAGTGCTTTAAATTCGAAAAACTGAAAAAAAAAAGAGTCAGAACAACGCATCCTGTTCGTATGTCTCCTTACCTGGCACCATAGCTGATCGAATGATGCGACAGGTGTGACCAGACCGTAAGCTATCTCTTCTCCTTTACGTTCTGGCTCATAAGTGCCAAATAATCTGAACTTTTCCACCAAATGTTTATGTTTGTGAATGCTTTTAGGTCTAGCTTACCTATCCCAGATAATCAATGTGCCACCGTAATTCCTATCGATACAATAAGGATTTCTGCCATGATGAACGCGATGACTGGAAGGTGTATTGAAGAAGTATTCCAGTGGCCCCAAATATGGAACCGCCTAAGTTCACAATGTAAATTCATATTTTATGTATAAAGAAATTTTCAGCATGATATAGAGTAATAAATATACATGGGGGATACTCACACTAAAAAACAAGCTGTTGATGCTTTATTTCAATACTTTGCCTTTTCTATTGAAGATCATTACGCCAAATAAGGTGCGGTAGAGAATCGGGCTTCAAAGACTAAAGAAACACTAGTCGATCCCGAGCCTAGCCATTTAAGGATTGCATCAAAAGGCTCATTACAGATCAGTGCCGGTCTTGCAAATTTTTATGAGGTAGCGCAAGAAAAACTTCTCCTTATGGCGAGCGGCGCTAACCACGCCCCCACAAATTTTGAATATTCCAAAAAAATTCCAAAAAATAAGCCCCGATATACAGCAAGGCATGGGTTCCTTTGGTTGCGAAGTTCTTTGGCGTATTTGGGCTGGTCGATTTTGGAAAAGAATCCCCCGCGCCTTGTACACGTGAAATTAGGGTATAAATATTTTGCCGGCTGTGACCCGGAAATTGAACGTCTCCACGGCAGCGGCTAGGCCTATGAAATTTTTCCAGTAAACCTAAATGATTCAAGAATTTCTAAGAATTTATTTCTAATTATTACTAACAAGAAAATGATGTCGTTTTTTATATCCTTACCATGGCACCGCAAACTGGCAAACTTCAAGAAAGCACAAGGGGTACTCCTCGATAGTGCAAAGCATTCTACGGACCTCCCACTTGCACATTTCTATGCTATCGACATCAGACATTCATAACAGTTGCTGTATTTCTTTGATTAGAAACTGAGAAATTAAATTTCATTATTTCTCTACTGCAAGTCTTTATAAGTATAGGTGTAAATTCAGTTTTTTTCAAGCGCTAATTTCCGAGAACTAGCAAATTTAGCTTTTTCCTCCTGCTTTTCTTGCCCAAACCAAAATTTTTCGAACACTAGCGCTCGAAAAAGACCAAAAATTCACATTATATTAGCAAGACTTGTAATACATACTTATATTAGAACGGCACAGCATTGCTTTGAGAAAAACATGGCAATATTCGTTTTCTCAGTTTTTGGTCGAGGAAAATATACAGGAACTGTGTATATGAATGTCTGATGATGATAGCATAGATGCGTGCAAGTGGGAGGCCCGTGGAAAGTTTCTGGACAGAGATCGGATTTTTTCGACTATGTAAGCATTTAGAACTTTTTGGATTTTGATATTTAACTTCATGTGGAACTATCCTGGCGCGGAAGCATCGACACAACTAAGTAGAGCTTGCTTTGCTCTATCGAACGGTACCTCACTTGCTTTATTGGGGTTCGCTTGGTTGCCGTAGCCAAGCAAATAAAAAACGACATTATCTTGACGATCTAATATTTACAAGTACGAACCTAGTACTTTGCACGATTAAATGACTTAGATAGGCCGCTCATTTGGTCAGAACTTCCATTTGGGGAGGAAAGTGAGGCGCATACGCTCCTATCAAATCGCCCCTTTGCCCCTCTCTGCCACTGTCTGTACTAGTCGTACTTTTACTTTCATTCCAACAATTTGGTAAGTTGTAAGGAACCTACATTTGCATGTATCCAAAACTGGTAGATAAGATTAAGATGGCGATGAACAAGGAAGATGTTTGGTGGAATGACAGTAGCTTGTAGCAAGTCAAAACCCATCGTGGCAATGTCCTGAATGTATACATCTTATAAAAGCTTTTTTTCTACCGATCGTGATGGTTTGAGAAATTTTCCAGCTGGAACTATTCGATTTTCGAGGAAGACATTCGTATAAATAGCCGTGCAAAAAGTTGTTTGTTTACCTGGAACACGCCTTGCCTCAAAGCTGTACTAAGATTGTAATATTCTGAAGAATGATGCATCTGATGAAATGACCAAAACACGCCAGCCTCTGAAATCAGATCAACTTTCTCAAAAATTTCCGGGGATTATTTACACTGCGCAGCAGCTTCTCTGCTATATTAGTTCAACTATCTCAGTTTTGATTTAGGGTTTTCTTGTAGTTCTTGCGTCATTTTCCAAGTTGCTCTTTGAATCTTCCTTATCTTATCGCTGTCATGTGCTATACCAGCAAACACGACACTTCCGGTTACCGAAAGGGAAACATAGCATGATTTTTTATGGCATTGTTAGAGAAAACTCATTTTCATTGTTAGCCCTTCTGTAAACGCAGTGGTGGTCAAAATGTTTTACGGGGTTGATAATCATTATTAATATGTGATTCGTAAAATCATTTGCATAAAAAAGCTAGTACGAGACCTGCTCATTCTTACGACAAGCAAGCATTTTTGCCTTCACCTGGGAAGGTAAGCATAAAATATCACCTCACATTTTTCACACTCACCATGAACAGCCCTATGTCCCAGATAATATACCAGATCCTGAGTGAAAAAGCACAGAATCCATGTGTAAGGTGAATCCTTTGGAAGGTCAATGATGTGAATTCGCTCGTAGAGCGGCTCGTAGAATGCAGCTGAGAGAAATCGTCCTCCTACTCTAAAACAAACTCTAACAAAACCCCTTACAGGTTGGTGAACCAACTTCATAAGTAGAGAGAAGATTCCGGCGTTGATGGAGGTGACGGTATCATTGAATGCATATTTTCTCTCGTCCAGAAGCAGATATTCCATAACAGTGAGGAAAAACATCCATGTTGTAGTCTAAATGGAATCCATTAAAATAGGCAAAAATCTTGAAAAACTGAGACTACCATTCGTAATTTTAACAAGTTTTAGCCTCCCCTATTTCCAGCAAACGAATGTTGATATTTTCAACTATTAGTAAAGTATTTTAAGTGTTAGTAAAGTTCTACTTTTTAAGTATTAGTAAAGTATTTCAAGTAATTCATCAAAAATCTTGCAAATATCTTACCGATTCGAGAAAATTGGGCACTTTCTCCATACTCTCGTAAGTCGTCTCATTGGGTGTTACCATATAGAATAAGTATCGCAGATTATTTGGGTTGAGATCATAAGCAAGCTTGCGCAATATAAATTGCATCTAAAACATTCATAGTGATTTATTTAGTACAGTGCGCGGTGTTGAGCAACTCAAGCTTCCCAAATTTTGTTATAGGCAATGTATTTAATCCCTGCAAAAGTTTTGTCATTCTTTTGAAGTGACCCGCACATCCCTTACAGTGAAGATAAATAAGTACTTCGAGTTGTATCCCATGCAGCATTTTTCCCCCTTTTCAGCTGCTATTTTTCTTGGTGTAATTTGTTGGAAGAATGCTGAGATAATCACTGGAAATTACTTTTCACCTGTCCAACTTTCGCTAATTTCTTGATATTTTTGTTTGAGACTTTCAGGGATCTTTGGTAACTAAGGGTAGGGCAAATATTTTGCCAAATGGATCAAATTTCTCGCTTTTTCGGCTGCTCACATAGAATTTTTTCAAATATTTTTCCAGACTTGTAGTAAAATCGCATAGCCCTAGTTATCGCATCAAAACTTCAGATCAATGACGATTCTAAAAATGGTCATTACAATCACTAACCTTACGAAGATAAGCAATTTCGCTTCAAAATATGAAGATTTTAAAACTTAAAGTACATATCGCCAAGAAAAGACAACAGAAAGAAGAGAAAAAGTTGCATCGAATAATACATAAGTTACTCAGTTTCTTCTTTGCCACGACAGGTTTTTATAGCAACAATTTATTGTGCTGCCATTTGAGACGCATAAGTTGTTTACCATTTCACGTTCTGCGAGGTTAAGTGAGGCGGAATATAAAATCTGATTACTTTAGGAGATATATTTTCAGAATCGGAATTACAAGCCACAGAGCTAAAAGAAATACCTCAATTGGCTAAATTGCCCTGCTTGCTGATTATTACAGCCCTCACATGTAAAATTTTTGAAAACTTGCGAAATTGGACATGGTGAAAACAAAAAGCTGTAATTTTCAGCGATTACCTCAGCCACAGCACTTTAACAATCACGTAATGAATATGGCAGCTGGAAAGAGGAAAAAATTCTGCATTTGTGACTTGTTATGTTTGTCTATCTTCACTGTACGGGATCTGCGGGTCAATCCAAAAAAATTTGACAAAGCTTTTGGACCAATCTGATATGTCTTACAAAACTTATTGTGATCATTTGTGACTACTCTAGTGACCTCAAGAAGTCAGAAAAAATTATCTACATGACTTATGATTAGGTTACAAAATAACACAGTGAGGCCTTGATCACATTGAATCAATGTAAAAAGAGTGAGTAATTTCCCGTCGGAATCGTCGACGCATTGCTTGCATCCTCTTTGGCTTACAAAAACATATTATATAAACTGTAATCTGTCAATATGTGGAGTATGTCTATCAGCGATTTACTTGCTGACTCGTACAGTTGCCAGTTACATTGTTATATCCTGTTTCGGAATAGCAAAAACACCAAATCACTACGGATGTGATGTAGAGGCAGTCATAGGGAGAAACTTCCTGAAATGTTAACTATCTGGGTGAGCGGCCAAAGCTAACAATAAGCTTGACAACGAAAAAACCCGTGTTGAAAACTGCACAACATTATAAAGCCACCTGGCTTTTTTTAACATCATCACATTCCCTTGCTCTCAAACTTTATTGTACAGTTAAATATCTAAATAGAGACATGTATGAAACTTTGCACTTTCCTCTTATTCAAAGAGATGTGATCAGTGCATTTTTTTGCTTTTGAAAGCATCAAAAGTCAATCTGCTCAAGCAGCTCGTTTGAAGAGTTTTCAAGCTCTTTTTCATTTCAAATGATAGTCATGGAATTCACTGAGCCTTTTCGATGAATGAGGTGCGCAATTTACTCTGCTTTATCGCTCATATTTACGGACAAAGTCCAACCACAGCATAGAGTTGCCGCACTTTTACACCACAAAAAATTGCAAGCGACAGAAACACTGTAAAGTAGCCACTACTTCGGCTATACGACAATAAACTTGTGTGCATAGTCAGGAAAAAAATTCGCGTCGAACATTCTGGTTCAGCTGCAGTTGCCATCCTCTGAAAGTTGAGTGGAGCAGCCTGTACGATAATAGCCAACCTCAGATCACAATATCGAACAGAGGACCGCTAACTACTTCAAAATCTTAGCTAATCTCAGCTACCGCGCAAAACTTGACATGAAACAGAGAGGGAAAATAGTGAGGGTGATTATGCCGAAGCCTACTGCTCGGAGAGAATTTGTGGAAACTATTACAGGTCTAACCGGCAACTGCATCTAGGGAAAGTATGGAAGTAGTTATGGCAAAAGCTGCGCCACCATGTAGATGTAATACAAGTCCAGCGCGTCAAGAACATCGAAAATTGAGTTTTATGGGTAAAAGCATGACAATCCTATGAATTTGGAGTCTGTCCGTCAATATCAGCGACGCAGAGTTTATAACGGCTCTTTTCATCTTACATTTAGTTATCGAAAGACTCGGTGAATACCATGACTATCGTGAAATGAACAAGAGCTTGAAAAACTCCTCAAGCACCTGTTCGTTTAAGCAGATTAACTTTTGATGCTTTTGAAAGCAAAAAATGCAGTGTTCTCCTTTGAGTAAGATGATCGTGGTGTTACAAATGTTCAATATTTTAGGATGCAACTGTACAAGAAGTGAAGGAATGCGATAGTCTTCAAAGAAAAAAAAAACTAGGTGGCTTTACAATTTTGTTCAGCTTTCATTACGGACTTTTTCAAATTTTTGTATCTTTCTCCGTCAAATCAACGGGGTTGGAAGCAGTTTTGAGAAGTTGTGAAAGACTTACATGCGCACTTACAGCAGTTCAGACAGGCTCAACAAGAACGCAAATGACCATGATTTTTAGAGTGACTTTGTAACTATGTTCACCACTGTATTATGAGCGAAGCTTATATACACATCAAAAGAAGAAAGCTCCCAGCGAGAATATCTCCAAAGGAGAGTAAAGAAAGATGAAGGGCTTATAAGGAATTGGAAGTTGTTGGAATATGCAAGTTTGCATATTGTATAGTTTGCATATAAATCGGATTCGGACCTATGAAATCATAATGTCATGCTAATGATAAGCAAATAGAGGGCTTTGCCATCAGGGAAGTATGAATCTATGCAAGATTTAGTAGTTCAGAAATCGCTGTGGCTTTATGTGATATTATGCTAAAACTAAACAGAATGTTCTAAAACTCAGCGGTTTACGCGTTTCTTCCTTCGTAACAAAAACATGTGAGTGAAGATTAACCTATGAAACCAAGAAGTGATTGTCTAGCTCTAAATATCAACTGCTACACTGCGTAGCAGGGTATCTTATCAGAGAGCAGTGCATGACCCAGAAGTCGTCAACCAGCTGCTCAGGTTATATGGTTCTCGGTCAGCGGTCAGCGATTTCTGCTGACACAAAGCAAGGCCTGTTCTTCGGCCATTCGGTATCCCTTTTTTCTAGGCAGCTCAAAGGCGTAAGAGGCATGAGAGTGCTTGTATAATACCTACGAAAATAATTTCGGGACACGTACCATATTTACTCCTTATTGTAAAAGATGGGCATCACTGATTGTTTCCTGTCGTGCAGTAATTTATTTGTGGCACACAACACCATTCAAATACCAGAAATTAAACTGGTAAACACTATAAACAATAAATACGAAACCATCATTTACAAGGGAAGGTATATGACTGGCATCTTTGAGCGCTGATTTCAAAACAAGCTTCCATATCTGCGTATCGATTTACTAAACAAAGTTGGAGGCATTTTTCGCTTTCAATTTGCATGATCAGGTACTGTGTAAATGACCTAAATTCGCAATAGATGCGAATTCTCTCCAAAATTGCATGTCCAAATGTGTGGGATATATCTTTTGTATATAAAAAAAATTGGTGGGAATAGTTTTGAAGCTCCTATTCCGCCTTGGTCGAGCAATAAGCAGCAAAATCAGGGTCATTTGAGGCCAAACAAGTCCCTGCAACTTTGTTCAGTAAACCAACAAGCAGAAACGGAAGGTAGTTCATCTTATAGGGAAACTCCACGCGAGTTCATATACCTCCCCCTGTTAGTCAAAAAATGTTCTAAAATAACTGTCAAGAAGTAAAGCTAGTTTGACGCTACCTTACTCCCATATCACAACAATGGGATTATAGCATCAAGAACTGATTACTATGCATACTAGCTTATACTTCGTGTGCTTCTAAGCGCCAGATACTCGTGCATCATCCAATGTGATTGATAATTTTGATCCAGCAATAGACGTGCTTAAATCATGGTGAGCATTAACTGAAGTGAATGGACGAGAACCGTATGAAGGCTTCATACGGTTTTCGTCCGGCTTCAAAAAGTAAAAAGTAAAAGTAAACCAAAGCTTTATGCATGATATTGGAGTACCACAATGGCGTATGTAATTGCGCTGTGCTCAATACTGACTATAAGGTAAACGCAGCAGGTTTTTTTGTGAGACTCTCCTGTTTATTGCGCTAAAATTATCCTGAACATCAATCAAAAAAGTAGTCTCTGCATGAAATTATGATGTATCTGCACCCTATGTAGGCCATCTGAGCGTGAAATTGAGTATGAAGGTGAAGATACACAACAAAAGACCAAGCTTTCCACTTCTTTCCTTCTTCGCTTCTGTAATTCTCGATTCGCCTAGACTTTCTTTTATACCAATCTTCTGAGCGGCTGTTGAGCGGATAAAGGAAAATAACCTCTAAACAAATTCTACCATCACTTAATTTCGGCGGAATAGAGCTGCTCACTTTGTGCTTTCAGTTGTCCACCATAAATTGGTAATTCCCTATAACAACTGAGCGTTTAGCTCAGATCTTCTGCTTAAAATTGTCGAAAGCTTGTATAGTCTAATGCGTCGGCGCAGAAGCGCAAAAGTCCCATTGAAGATGTGCCAAAGGCGAGGCGAAGCCGCGAAAGATATGCGAAGTGGTAATTGTGTTGTAATTGTTATTGTTCTCTGGATGCGGCCCATCACGAATATATGCATCACCACCTGTAAATTCATATGTATCACCCTGTTTTGTCCAAAAGAGGCTTTTCTTTTTATACTATCTTCATAC